CCCCCACCCCCCCACCCCACCGCCCGCCTGCGCTGCGGGGTATGCATGCGTTTGAGGAGGCTGTCTGCCTCAGATGCTACGATCGCGGCTGCAGCCGGAATTCCCTGGCTTTCACACAAATCTCAAGGTGCAGACGCAAGAAGCCTCGCCGGCCTGCGAGAAAAAGGCCAGGAAGCTACAAGACTTCACGGTGCCAAAAATCCGAGAGCGTCCCGAGAGTTCGTGATCCTGGACCCCGTAGCCCTGGGACTTGAGACTCGGGGTTTCGTGAAGACTTAAGCCCTCGACAAACCTGATCTCAGATTTCAGAATCCTCCTGCTCCGGTGCTTTCATCTTCAATCGAGCCTGCGAGGCTCTTTCGTCTCCGATCCAGCGGCGACTGAATTGGCCGCACCGCGGGCCTTCGCGCTGAGTTATGTGAAAGTCCGAGATTTGACATCAAGGCTTGTTATCGGCCGCACTCGTCACTGCAGAGCTAGCACCCGTTTCTTACACTTAGACTTGAGAGGTCTGCTGATGTCGGCTGGGAGTGCGACGGAATTGTGGCTCCTGTAGCTTGCTCGATTTCATGAGCCTTCCGAATTGGCGAGAGGACGAAATGTCTGGCATCCTCAGAAAGCCACCCACCACAAGAAAGCTGAGCCAGCGGCACAACTTGCCAGCACGGCGTCATCGAAGTTGAACAAATGGAAACTTAGTGTTGCCTGCCGCGCACCACTATGCACCACTATGTCAAGGCTGTTGAGAACCTCAGAAACATGACTGGAGCACCGGTTGGTACCCAGAAGCCCCCCGCCTTGCACATTGCGCAACTCTGGCATCTCCATGCAGCGACATGTAAGCTCGGAAGCGCACGCAAAGTCTCGATAAGTCGGAGCAGAGGCCGGCCGCTTCCTGATGGCATTGAGAGTATCCGCTACTTCTGAATGAAACCGGCGGGCACCTGAAAAATGCTCGCACAGCACGTATGCCAGGCACCTAACAACATCACACTATCGCCGCCACGGCTACAAGTACCATGCAAATGAAAGGGCGGTCGCCTCCAAGTTGTCAATGTCGGTGGCCTGTTTAACGAAGAACTGGTCTTTTGCATGTTCAATCTGGGAAGAGTCTCGCTGCCGGCCTTGGCTGAAGCCAATTCTGACGCACCTCTTCGTAGTCCCAGTTTCCATTGCACACCACCGCGCTAATGCCGCTAATGCCGCTAATGCACCCCTCCCTTTGGCTTCGAAGATGATCTCGTCTGCATGCATGGATTGGTGGACTGTGCGCCTCGAGTCGTGGCTGCACAGATCGCAAAGGCATTTGCTCAGACTTCTCGGTGCGATGCTCGCTTTGGACCGATTGCCTCAGAGACCAGAGTGGCGGGTGATGCCGGTCCGCTGACGTGAGAAAAAAAACTCTTCTGATGTACGATACGATCACGCTCACAGCTGCTGTCAGAGAAGCACACAAAATGTGAAGGCTTGAGACAAAAAATGTCTGTCCACCAAGGCACGTCATCCTGACTAGCTACATTCTACGCCGTTGCTTTGGGCTTGCTCTACCATGTCATATCTATATGTGATGCTGGCATAAGCCGACAGCTGCAGTCAGGACTTCACGTTACGTGTGACATGCAACGACTGCCACAACTCCCCAGAATAGATCATTTGGCATGGCGGTCCCTGTTTCAAACTCTCACACATCGTCTGCAAACACCGCGGCATGCGCTTGTGACGCGGCCAGCTACAGCTCTTCGGCTCTAAGGCCACTACTTTCAGAACCCTCGTTCTCCTCGGTCTTGGCTCTGCTCATTTGGAAAGAAAGGTTTGTGCAGCACGGCGGTGAGTTGCTTCACCTGTGCATTGCTTCATCTAGATACATCTCCCTTCCTGGACGGTCCCACACCGGAAAAAGACTGCCTTCTTATCACCAATGCCGTGGCAGTGTAGGAACTCCTTGCGATTGGGGGAGGTTGACCCAAGATGGAAGCTTTGAGGCCAGAGCCCGGAGCCTGTCCTTCTCTGTCGAACGTGCGATCTGCGCAAAGGACCTGTAGGACCACTGAGCAAAGCAGCCTTCGAGCAGCCTTAAAGCTGCTGTAGCATGTGGCTTACGCAGGCCGAGGTGCCCAAAGCGGGATGCCAAGGAGGCAGCGTCCGACTTGTTGATGCCCTGCCGATGGAGGACTGTAGGACTCTACAGGATGTTTTCTTCTTGCGGTGGTGCCTTGATCGTGCTCAGGACCTCCTGCAAACGCGCCCTGCTGTCCCCCTGTGTCACCCGACGCTTCAGTGCCTGCATCATGTACAGCCAATTCGTAATTATTGTGGGGGATGCTTCAACTGCATGTCGCAGCTCCTCAGCCCCCTTGCTTTGACATCGATACAGCGTCTCAAGGTAGGCTGCTGCCTACAGCAAGTTGTAGTTTCGCATGTTCCAAGCGAGATTGTAAGGACCTCTGCATCACTCCAAGCCAGCAAGAGGGAAACCTTTCCATGAAAAGCTGCCAACGTCACCTTTGGAAGGGCTGGCCATCACTGTGTGCGTGGCAAGATCTCTCGAGAGCCTGCTCCAGCGTCTCCTCCGGCTGCTCCAGATCTACTTTGCAGAGCAGCACGCGGTTGCGAAAGTCACCTGCGTGTGCCGTAGCTCCGACTTCCGGCCCACTAGCATCCGGACATGCAAGCCTAAGCTTTGCACTTTGCCCTTCAAGTAGTCCTGATGGAGGCGCCTCGGCTGCAACTTTCCGAAGACACTTTTTGCAGGAACCATACAAGCCACGTAAACCCTGAAATCAAGTTGAAAACGTCACCGGAACCAAACTCGGTCGAGCCTGCAAAATGACGGCAACAAAAACCGGGATCACTCGAGGAGCGGAGCCAAGCACGGCACTGGAACTTGAGGCTAATGAAAAGCACGGCCGTCTCGGGTCCTTGCCACTCGCGATTGACTCAAATCGGGACTCAAGCATAGGTGTCGCTTACTGATGGCCTGCCAGGAAATCTGGCTTCAGCTCAGGGTCTTCAACGAAGTCAATGGGAGTAGACCTGGAAACGGATATGCATGGCCCCGTGGCAGTCCAAACACGTGATCCATGTGGATATTGAGCGCGGGGCTGGATGTATTTGACGATCGGATTCTGCTGCTGTCGCGCTTTTGCAACAATTGCCTCGATCAGCAACCGAAGCCCTCCAAGCATGCGACGAAACGACCGGCCTGCTGGGCTTGTCTCCGCGAGGTGCCTGTTTGCAGCCGTCTAAGGCAACCAACAGCAAGTGTGACGCAGAGCACCTGACGCTCCCTCCCTGGTTTCCATCGCTGGAGCGAGCGGAGGCTTCCAAACTTGCAAGGTTTTTTTTTACAAAGCTTTAAAGGTTGCAATAGGTTTGTGGTTCTAGAGTTTCTTCACACCTTAACCGAACTACCTTCTAACACTCAAAACTCGAAAACTCAAACTCCTGAAAATCTCCCTGAGGCTTTAAAGTTGGGGGCCCCACACAAGGGTATGCGAAAACCATGAAGTCAACATTCGCCGCAGGCCTTTTCTTCCGAGTCCAAAACTTATGCATGGTGCAGAACGTAACCTAACCTGCAGTGCAAACTCGCACTTTTCTCTTGGGACTCAAGGCGCCTGCGGATCGAACGGTAGCTCCATGCCGATTGCAATGGCATGCCGAACTGGACAGCTTGCACAACTCACTGACATGACTGATCTGACCTGAGCTTATTGCTAACAGTTTCACATCCATCAGGGGGAGAATTCAGGTCAGAAACGCAATCAGTCAGCTGAGCTAGCTTCTGCAGTCCGAACTCTTTGATGGCATATTTGCCATGCAGCATGACTTTGCGCATCAGCGCAGAGTTTCCAAGCCGCTTGGTCAAACAATCTGAAACCATAAAGTTTCCAGGCAGCCAATGTACAGTGGCTTTGAGAACACGTGCAGATTCGGCAAGAACACTCACATCGATCTGGGCTCGGCGACACAAACCAGCTGCACCGCTGCGGCGGTGGAACAAGTCGTACAAAGCGCGGGCGTCGGTCACCAGAATGGATTCCTCGGAGGGGTCAACTTGGCGGACGACAGCAATCGATTCGTCTGGCCCATAACGACTGCCATCACTGATTGTCGAGCCTGGAACCACCAGTTCAGCGAACATGGCTTTCACCCATTCCAGCTCAGCCAATCCATCGTCCATTGCCAAGGCCTCTGAGCCCAACGAAGCTTTTACCACCCTTCGGAGGCGGTGACTTCTCCAACTGTTGATACTGAAGTTCACGAGGTCGCCCTTTAAAATATCGCCGTCGGCAAAGCCCACCAGGAAACCACCCTGGCTGCGCACGTGGTCGTTGGCCACTGAAGCATCGGAAACCGAAACCCAGAGTCCGGTGCTCAGACTCACTGGAAGGATCCGCAGGAAGTAGTCCGGGGTGCGCTTGAGCTCGGAGATCACCTTGTTGGCTGCTTTGATGTCCTTGATGGTGGGACCATCTGCACCCCAGCTCATCGTCATGGTGCTGGCTGCAGCAACATCTGGTCGGGCTTCCTTGGCTATCCAAAGTAGAGAGCCTCCAGCACCCCTCAAGGCAGTGATCTCCTTCTCACTCAGCTTGGCATCGTCACCGTCTTTCAAGCGATGACGTGTCAGGTGGATGGGCGAGAGCTTCTCCTCCACATATCGCCGCATGTCCACCCTCACCTCAAAGTTCTGGAGCTGACGGATAGTCCGTCCAAGGTATTCACCGCTGCCACCAAACACTTTTCTCCATTTCCCGAACCTGAAGCGTTCTCGAAGTTGACTCATCAAGGTGGCATGCCTGGGTCCCCCTCCTTGTATGAAATCGTCAACGTCCAGGAGGACAACCCTGAGCAGCCGCGGGCGTTGTCGATGCCGCCCAACTCATCAATCTCCTTTTGGTCAAACGGGAGGTAAAACAAACATGGATCGAACACCGATTCATGGTACCCCAATCCCAACAGAAACTTCCTCACTGTCCGTCTCCAGGAGGCTGGTGCGTTGACAAGCCCGTACACTGCAGTCAACACCTCGATCAGACTCCATGCTGGCTTGTCAGGAAGTCCTGTCTTTGGTAGTGAAGCGAAGAGTCGCCCTTGTCGCCGTTGTTCGGGGTCGGATTGGCCAAATGCCGAAGTGACGTCCATGATGAAGAGTTCGAAGCATAACGAGCTGATGACCTGCAGAGTCAAATAGACAGTTGGTGTGGCAGGTGTCGGGGCAAAACGCTCTAAGTCAAGAGCGTCGGGGTCACGATGCCCCAACAATATCCAGCGTGCTTTAGCTTTCCATCGCTCACCAATCTCCTGCTGTTTTCTGGTGAGGATGAACCTGGACGGCATGATGCGGTCCGGAAACTCAGCTCGCAAACGGTCTGCCTCATCGCGGTCCTCGATGATCCGAATGGCACCTCCGCCCTCGAGGTTCTGGATCTCGACTCGCTTGGCCTCGTTGAAGATCTTCTGTTCCTCGAGGTCGAAGTTGCGCTCGTTGAGTTCTTTCCCCGATTTCTTGGTTAACCCAACAAAGCTACCATAGATCTCCCCGTCCTAGTACACGACGTCATCATTCTCAAGCTTGTGGAACAGTTTCATATCCCGGCCATTTGCCACGACAGGGTGCTTGCCCTTGTCACCCCATTCTGTAACCTGGTCAGCAGACCACATCCCGAAAATTCGGGAACGTTGAGCAGGAGCAGGAGACTTTGCTTTCCGTCCACCAACATCGTCCAAACCACGCTTAATGCGCTGATCGATCAGTCGCGCATCTTCTGGTTGTAGTGAATCACGTTCGGGTTGGTCTGGACTCGTAAGTTCGGTTCCTGGGTCAGGATGTCCGGTCACCTTCTTGTAAACCAACACGGTTCGCAACGAACGAACTGGTCTAGGAAGTTGGCGATGAAGGTCATGTGGTCGTTCGTTCCCTCGTATATTCTCGCGCTTCAACACCTCATTGGTGTCATTGTCGATCGTCACCCGCTGGACGACGTCGCACCACATCGGTCCCTTCGAATTTGATGTTCTGAACCTGGAAGGGTTGGCATCAAACCTAGACCATTTCTTCAACTCCGTGCCACTCCCAGCTGGTGGCCACTCTGCACGCCCCTGAGGCATTCTAGGCGTACTCGATGATGAGGTGGAGGAAGAGGAAGAACTTGAATTAGACGATCCATCCACAATGGACTCACCTGGTGGTAACGACCTAGATCTGGCACTTGACAACGTATCGTCACGGACCCTGACCAAGATCAGAAATATCATGGACCCCAGACTGCTCGTGACCAAGATCTATAATTGGAACCACGGGATCTGGTACAGGGATTTCTGCGAGAGGTTCACGTTCATCAGGCGGTCGCAAACCATTGACATTATCTACCCCTTCAGGAACTGCGGGAGGATCTGGTACAGGGATTTCTGTGAGAGGTTCGCGTCCATCAGGGGGTCCATCTAACCCCAGATCTCCTTCACCATGCTGAACTTCTTGTGACACATCCACGTACCTCATCTTCTCAGAGTCATAGCGCAGACGGGTTTTGGCCTCCAGAAGGTCTAGAGGTATAGCTTCAATTCCGGCCTTCTCACTCTCTGCCATCTTGTATACCTGTCCCACATGGCAACGCCACAACTGTCCACGTCTGGTCACCCAGATTGTTTGACCTTCCTGGAGCACCACAAAGCATGGCCCAACTTTCGCGGTGTTCCCGCGCTTTCCTTGCCTCCACACTGCAACAGGCTCACCCTTCTCAAAGTGCAACTTGGCGATCTCCTGACGAGGTCTCGCCAGTCGTGCCCTTGCTAGCCGAGCACGAGCATCCACCTCCATGAGGGCTTCCCGGGCTGCGGTTCGCATCGTGTGTGCCCTCTCCCAGGCCTCATCCTGGGTCGTGCTCAAATGATATTCTCGCTGATCAGCAAGGGTGTCCAATGCCAAAGTGGGCTGGCGGCCCAGCACCCTCTGTGCAGGGGAAAACCCACTCCGGTTCACCAATGTTTGCAAAGCCCAACTGGCCTCGAAGATCAAGGCCTCCAGCTCTGGAAGATTTCTTGGAGGAGTTAGCTCCTTGGTCCGGTAGTACACCTCCTTGAACAAACCGCCACGGCGCTCCACGATGCCGTTGGCGAATGGAGCTTGTCGAGAAACCTCCAAAGGAATGATTCCATGTCGTTCCATCCCTTCTTGAAACGCACTTCCAGTGAACTCTCGTCCCTCGTCGAACATCAGGTACTGAGGGGCTCCAAAAGTCCGCAACCAAAGGCGTGCAAAACCTTCCCAAGCCTTGACAGCTGTCTTTGCCAGCGGATCGATCAATCCGAAGGTGCTATACAATGTACCGAGACATGTGATGTTTAGGACTGGGTGGTCCGCCTTGGAGTTCAGGCCGTGGAGAAACAGGAGGTCTACTCCTATGATGACGTTAAAGTCGTACGTCCTTGGCGTAGCTGCAGGTAAACGTGTGGGAGCTCGCTTCTCACGGACACATCCAGGGCACTCGAACTCCCTCAACACGTACTGGATCACATCCTGTCGGGAACCGGCAGCGCGTAGCAATCGAGCAAACTCCTTGGCATGTGGGTGTCCCAGATTCACGTGGCACCGAAGCACACCTCGCTTCTCCCGGTCCGTGAGGTCAAAGGTCGACACATAGGTGGTTACCTCATTCTTCTCCGGGTTCCTGACCGCTTGAGCAGGAGGTGCCCAACGATAAACAATCACAAGTACAAGTCCATCACGTAGTCCTGGGCAGAGGGGGCCAGAGCCACCTCGTTCCAACCATCTCCACTCACCAGGATTGGTCATCACCGCCGACCATCGCAAGTGTCGGTTGCCAGGTCCAACAAGAGGCACCAAACTGGTGCGAGGGTGCATTGTCACCAACATGGCCTGGCCGTAGTGATCCCGCCAGACCTCATCTCCATACCCGAATTGTTGTAGATCTCTACAAAGAGTGGTAAGCTCGAAATCGTAGGGAATGAGGTCGCTCTGGAGCCGCGTGGAGTCATTCGGGCTCCTGGGGAGACCGAGGTCCTTCATGTTGTACGGTGGCTTTGGTCGTCGACCGCTCCCTGTTGCAAACTGAGAAGTCTCATGCACAGGCAGTCGTGGTGGTAGCACCTCAGGTGGTGGTTCATCAGGTGTGCCTGGTAGTGCAACTTCCACGGTTGCTGGTATGGAGGTCCCAAAAGAGGGCTCTTCACCGGAAGTCGTCTCCTCCCAAAGGTCGAAGTACTGGTCAAGACTGCCAGTCAAGCTGGCTAGAGAATCACCCAGCTTCTTTTTCACATGCCTATCCATGGTCACCTCAATGGGATCAAGGTCCTGGTCCTTCACGTAGTCCAGGAACTCGTCTGTGAACTCCTGGATCACGAACACCTTCGTCTCGCCGCCAAGGTCATATCTACAGCTGGCGGACCTGTCAATATGCAACAGGTTCCAGATCCCAGGCTCAGGGCTGGTAGCCACCACACGTGTTCCCAACGGGTACCTCAGTCTCACAGGTGGGTGATCAGGTACATGATCACCGTGGTAGGTGTACACCATGGAGTGTGGTGATACCACATTTCCAAGCACTGTTGAAAGACCGGGCAGCTGACTCGACACATCCCCGAGCCAACCAAGTGACTTGTACCCGTAGGTCACGGAGTTGGGTGCAGAAGAGCCGGGTTGTAGCCACCGTTCTGGCAATGGCTCCTCAGCACCTCCGGCCATTCCATCATCAGCGTCATGTCCCCACATTGTGGACACTGAAGGGCTTCCCGGTCCCGGTGGTGTGTGCTCTGAAGCACTCCCCTCTGGCAGATCACACACAGACGGACCCCTGCAGCCAAAGACAGGCGGCCGGCGTAGTTCGGCCACTGGCATGGACATCCATGGATCCCGCCGCTGCACATCCACATCACCCGGTTTTCCTCGACACAGGTGTACAGATGAAGTCCGCCACGAGGACAATGTGGGCATCCTTGCATCAGTGCCGGCGGGCTCACCTGCGGCGCTGAGGCTGCATCCATCCTCCACAGGTTCATCTCGTCCTGCTCGCGGTCGCTGGCCTCCATTTGCTCGGATCCACTCTGGTACAGGCCGGACAGCTTCGATCGCGGGGTCCCGATGTCCATCGCAAGGAGTTCTTGCTGTTCCACCAGGACTGTCCGGGCAGAAGGCTTCATAGAGCTCGTCGCCGGAGTAGAGGGATTGGCCATTTTCGCCATCACCTTCGTTGCCTTCTTGGTCTCCTTCGCACTTTGCTTTTCCATGGGCGTCTCGTAGTCCGGCTTCTGGAAGACCAGCACCTCGTTCCAGTGCTGCAGCCGGTTCAGTGGAAGCTTTGGTATTTGCTCCACCTGGTGGCACCGAAGACATTTCACCCAGGCCCAGTCCGAGTTCGCACCATGTTTCGTCTCCTGGTGTGGGCACATGGGCGAGGCACGTAGGACTGGTGTCAAGTACTTCGCCCGTCCACGGTGTTCGGCCATGGGGCGAAGCTGCTCGGCATAGTCCTCGTACGTCATCATCTTCTTCTGCACGGGAGTCCTCGAGGATGCCGTAGACGCCACCAGGGCCTGTTCTTGTCGTTGTAGTTCCAGGGCTCGTCGCTCGAGGTTTTCGCGCTGCACTGCCAAGCGCCTGGCCCTGCGCAGCTGAGGTTGGGTGATAATCTGCTCGAGGCCCATTTGTGCCTGTACGAACAGCCCATAGAAGCAGCGCAGCACAAAGCGTCGCCAGCGAAGGAGCCATGGAACAGGCTTGGCGCGCTCCATCAAGGAGCTCGATTGAAAAACCAGAGGGCGGTGCCGGGTTCGGCTCCCAAACCTCACTCTTGAGAAATTCATAATGTTGCGGAACGGACCATTGACTTCCGAACTCACAGATGTGAATCTCGACGTGTCCAGTGCTTCTGCGTGTCATGCTCTGAACTGCACCGATATTCGTGTAGGCAATGAGGCAGGCATGCATGTCTATGACTGCGCCCAGCTCCGAAAGCAGATACGCAGGAATCAGGAAAGGAACATCACCTGGAACCACTTGGACACGAAGCACTCCTGACTTCCCTGAAATCCCGAGGGGAACATACGCAACCTTGGTGATCTGCTCAGAACCACACACTCCACGAACGGTACCCCCAGGCTCGTTGGTCACTTGGATCCTAAGTTGGTACTGATCACGAAGAAGGGCATCATGACTCATGAGGGTACTCTCTCCAACTAGCCCATGCTGAGCAGCTGTGTCAACCAACGCACAACCCCGAGGTTCCCCCTGTGTACTAGCAAACGTAAAGCTGAGGAAGGAGGACTCCATGTATTGCTCCGACTCCGGAAGGTGCACAGGTCGGTCGAGCTCATTCAGCTCCTCGGAAAACTTGCCCGATTTCGGCAACGGAACCTCAGGAGCATAGGAGTCACGTGAGTCCACGAAGTACGTGGCACTGCTCAAAGAAATCCCGCCAGCAGGATTCTGACTCTGGTCGGGTTCGCTCAGAAAGAACATATTCGTAGATGGCCGAGAAGAGGTTGCCGAAGGTGGCGTGTTCGAGCCAGGCCTCGTTGACACCGGACTGGGGGCTCGACGTCTCTGCGGGCATTCCCGGCTCCAGTGTCCCAGCTGCTTGCACTGATGGCATCTCGTCCGGGCCTTGATATCCCCAATAGACGTATGGGGTCTCTGAGACGGTGTTCCGCGGCCGAAGCCACGGTCTGAGCGAGCTTGTTGAAGGGCGCGTCGGTGGTCCATGTAGCTACGTTCCACACCAGTGCCATAGACACCAAAGCCTTTAGCACCAGCTTTGCCCTTTCCTTTTCCTTTTCCTTTGCCCTTGCTCTTGCCTTTGCCTTTTCCCTTCCGAAACCATCGGTCTGAGGTCTCTCCGAAGACATAATTCAGCAACTCGCCACAGTAGCTTAGAGCCTCATCTTCCTCCATCATTGCAGGCATTGGCTCATCTAAACAGATATACACCTCGCCATCGTCACCGGATTCAAGAATGTCCTGGAAGAGGGGGTTCTCGGCGTCCTGGTAGTAGATCTCATCACCCTGGTAGTAGATCTCGCCATCCTGGTAGTAGATCTCGCCATCCTGGTCGTAGAGCTCGCCATTCTGGTAGCCCCAGTCATCTCCATCATCCGCCCCGTCCAGCCAGTAGGACTGACCACGGTGGTCAGATGCATCATCAACCCCATCTCCAAAGATCTTCCGGATCGCACCTTCCACCTTCTTGAACTCGATGCTTCCATCAGTTAGCACCCTGATGCGCTGCTGCTGATCCGCTGTGAACCCTCCTTGGCGCCAAGTGTCCAAGAAGATGCTCTCCTGCTGGGGTAGCCAGCAGGTCCAGTCCCTGCTTCCGCAACTCGGCAAAGCTCGCCTTCTTCGCCGTCAGGAAGGCGGAGATGGATTGTCCATGTTTTCGGCGTCCCCGAAACACTGCTTCGCTAAATGCTTGCTCCAGCTTAGCCACTTTCAAGTAGTCATGGGCCTCCTCGATGCAGGCCACAATGGTCTCCCATCCACCATCGGAGGTGATCTCTTCCACCGACAGATGAGAAACGAGACTGGAGAGGCGGCTGCCATAAGGAATAGCATCTAGTATGCGTTTTCCGATAAGAGCAGACGGCAGGCGCTCGCGGGCCTCAATCAACCACAACTTGAGCTTCCTAACATACTCCCGGTATTGCTGTTCCGGCCACTCTCCATTCCAGGAGGGAGCCGGGTCCATGCGGTAGTCCACGAAACGCCTAGCGCCAGCACCCGTGCCGCTACCATCCAAGCCATCGGCGCCATACTGTGGCGCTGGAGAGCGAGGCCTCACAGGCGAACCAGGGTGAGCTTCCGGCGTTCGCCTCGCAGCCGGTTCGCTTCCAGCCGTAGCCATCCTTGCCGAAGTGTTGGGCTCAGCTGGTCCAATCCACTTGACTCCCTTTCTTGCGTCCCACGAAAGACTTCCCTGTCCTCACAACAGGTACCCAAAACTTTCCAGAAAGTCTGAAGACCCTCTGGTCCCGCTGCCCAAAACTGACAAAGACAGGCAGCTGCAAGCCAGGGAAAGTCCTGGCAAGTGGCCCACAAGCTGGGCCTCCGGAAAACGATCTTGTAAAAGAGGTCGCGGTAGAACTTCTTCCGAAGAGATAACCTTCCCCGCAAGCCTAAGCGGGTACTCGACCTCGAGGCGGGTCCCGAGGATGAAGACAGGGGCGTCCCCCTGCAACGCCAAGGAAAGGCAGCCAAAGGAGCACCAGTCGTCACCAGCGCTCCGCTACCATGCAGAACGTAACCTAACCTGCAGTGCAAACTCGCACTTTTCTCTTGGGACTCAAGGCGCCTGCGGATCGAACGGTAGCTCCATGCCGATTGCAATGGCATGCCGAACTGGACAGCTTGCACAACTCACTGACATGACTGATCTGACCTGAGCTTATTGCTAACAGTTTCACACATGGTGACTAATGGTGACGCCGTTTGAATCAAGGTGCAAGTGGGTAAACCCGCCCTCTCTCCAGGCTTCGAGAATTCTCGTGAAGGCCAGCGGGCCCACACCGAAAGCGCTAACGCATTAAACCGGAACCCCAAGCCCTGCACCATAGACCCTGGAACTGTTCAGAGGTTCAGTGCTTCTGTAATCTCTAAACTTGTGGGATCTTGAGTTCAGGCGACAGGGTTTCGCCAAATATGAGTCCGAGTTGCTGTCGAAACAAGCATGTAGGAAAGCACCGGTAGCGAGCTTCACAGACGGACTGCGCTCCATGGTCCCTGTGAAGACAAGCAACCACAAGCCCCTCCCAGCTAACAAAAGAGGAAGTGAGCACAAAGAAACGGCCCTCGCTCCTCTGACTGCGCAATTTGTGCAAGGCAGGAGCACTTTGGCCCCGAGGTTCTGCTCCCATTAAGGATGCAGATGGCCAGCCGCTGGCAGCTAGCGCCCTTTGGCCTTGGCCTTTGGCTTCCCACCTTGGGTCTTTCAAAGAGGATGAGTTCGAGATCTGCCCGAGGAGTTGAGGCCCAAGCCTGATTTTGGACCCGACTTCGCCTGAAGGCAGCTAGCCGCTAGCCCGACAAGCTCTGCAAGCTTCGCAGCGAAGGTCTGGGTCCTAGGTCTGCGAACAGTGGCTCAGTACGTCTGATCCAGAGACTCTCTACATCCATCATCCTCTGTGTTGCATGCGTTGAAACGGTGCACCGGATGCCTCAACAATCCGTCCAGAAGCAGCCGGGGCAACGATCATAGACACAGAACCCAAAACATCATGCATGGGGCACGAACTTCGACGCTGCAGCAGAATCCCAGCTTTAAACAGACGATGCCGTTCTGTGGCGTGTCGACATGGTTCTCCTCCTCCCCTTCATCGATCGCGGTTCAGAATGTTCAAAGCGGCAACCAAAAACGAGCAACCGTCACGGGTCGAATGCAAAGACTGGCTGCCCGCAAAAAGACTTCCACAACTCCCAGAACACCCACCAGCCTTGGCAAGCCTCCTAAGCTAGTGGCTTTATTTTTCAACAGTCTGGTGCATGTTTTCCTCCATTCCAACGACGGACGGGTCGGTCATCTTCAATTGCGCAAATTAATCTGGTTGGAAGTGCGGGAGCTGATGCATTTCGGACGAAACTTCGTCCATGCAGGTTGAGTGCGCGCAAGCACAGACACACATTGCCTAGTTGCAGAATTGCTCTGCGCCTTCTTTTGTGAGATGAAGATGGAAGCACCCATCAACGTGGCCGAACCCAAACCAGCCCCGGCCGAAGTAGCAACGATGGAGCCGGCCTTTCCCTTGGCTTTGGCCTTCACAGACTCTCAAGTATCTTCCACGAAGCCTGCACATGCCTGCCAGTCCAAGCCTTGGCTATTGCGGGCTCCGCTTCGTCTGGGGCCTCCTCAGCTGGATTCTCGGTGCCTCGCACTGTGTTAAGGTGTTATAGTTATAGGAGCTTAGAATCGGGGGTTCGAGTTGCTGCTTCATGTTGCGTCGCTATTTAAGATGGCTCCGCCTCCAGTGATGCTGCTCGCCCCTGCGATCGGAACCTGCATGCCCAGACCAGCCCCAGGATCGAGGTTGCACCGCAACACCTAGACCAAACGCCCAGCCTCAGACGGCGTGTCCACGCCTGGTCGCACGGAAGTGTCTGCCAAGTGCGCCACTGCATGGAAACCGCAGCCGGGATTGCCAAGGCGGAAGCATTTCAGTGTCTCTTTGATCTCATCATCCTTGGCGACGGCGAAGGCATCTTTCCTACACAGGCGACATTTACTGTGGGAAACTGCCGCCTGCAAACCCACAACAGGAGCTACCTACTAGTAGCGTATTCCCCCCGTGCATGTCCCGGCCACTGCCTCCCCGCGTCCCGGTCTCATAGGATGAATTGGCGCCAAGCGCAGTCGGTCTCAAAAAGCCTTTTCTTAGACCGAGAGTGGGGTGAAGTATCCATGAAGCGGGACGGAGCGCGGTGAGTGCGCAAGGTCGACGCGAAGATGCGCGGGGGAACCGCACAACACTAAACGATACGGATCGCAAGACCACCCTTAGCTGCGAAGATGGGTTCGTGATGTTGCAGGTGCTCGCACAAACTTTCGCTTTCAGAGCAAGAACTGCCTTCCTGCAAAAGATGTCGCAGCAATTGAAAAATGTACTCCTAGAGTCCCAGAAGAACCGCAATGGAATGCTACAAATGCAACGACCCATGAGCAGAAATCAAACACGGCTGGAGCCACTGGATTTCCTGCTTGTAGCAAAGCGAGCCAAGTGCTCAAGACGATCAGCCATCCGTCCATCCAGCTGCAGTGAGGCCTGTAGGCATTCTCGATCAAAGGATCGGCTTTTCTGGCCATGAGGACCTCCATGCGCAAGCTATGCTCCGATCACATGCGAAGCTTACAAGCCTGGCAGATCTTCTTGTGGCCGTGAAAAGCAGCCACTGCTATTGGTGTCCACCCTTTGGAGTCACGGGGGTTTGCCCCAAAGCCTGACAAAAGCCAAGTCGCTGTCACGCACGGCAGAGTGCGAAAAGCTTAATCTCGGTTCCTTGCCAAAGCTGTCGAAAAGCAGTGTCACGATTTCCTGGCGACCTGGAATGGTCAGACAGTGAACAGACAGTGACGGATGCGTCTCAGCGTACAATGCCCGGCACCATGGGTGGCCGCCAAGTGCAGGATGCTGTTCCCTCGATCATCCCGGTAAGCAGGGATCTGACAAAAGGCCATGATGGCCATGTCAAGAGCTCAATGGCACATGAAAGATATGCTTCCATCATTTCCATCCACCTCTTTGCGGTCAAGATCCAAAAGCTCGAGCTCGAGCGCATCCTTGTCGCCTTGCCTGCGGGCGACTCGCCGAGGCAAGCGAGGCGCGAGCGACTCGCCTTCTGGAGGCTTCCATCTCCGTGGCCCCTGCTCAGTGAGCTCACAGAGCTTGGCTGTTTTTTTCCGCCGGGCCAGCTGCAAGCGCTCCTGAAGCCATGCCGCTTTGGCAATTCCGGTTATGCTGACTAGCAATGCCAATGCTCAACCTCTTCGTTGCGAACATTCTTTTCGTCTTCAGCGTCTATCGCTTTGGCCCTTTCCTTCACCGCAAGCCATTTGATGAATTCTCTTGCCGTGACGGAAAGTGCGGTGCCTCCTTTAGAGAGTCCGTCTTTGCAGAATCCCAAGCCTCGCATCCGTTAAGGAGGGGAAGTCTGATGGATTCCGCTCACATCTCCCTGGCCTGGCCTCCAGTGCAGCTCGCGTCTCGTCGTTGCTGGCCATGTCATAGGGAAGCTCCCCGTGACGGTCCTCTCTCTCTCTCTCGCTCGGACCGTCGGAAGCACATTATAGCACATTGCTGCTGCGGGGCTTGCCTTCGTGCGAGGGTCACTGCCGTGCTCCAGTAACACTTGGGCCACAGCCTGGCCAAGGGAAAGGCACGGCCAGCGTCCAGGCAAAAATTGCCACCTCCCTGCCTGGTGTCCTTGAAAGCAGGCCCTGTGGAGAGCAGTACGGCCATCGTTTCCTCCGAAAGTGAAATTGAAATTGATTCAGATGCCAGCTGGCACAACTCGACTGCCTGCAGCATTTGGATCGCTCCCAATCGGTGCCTGGACTCAATGAAGCAGCCTGCGCCTACTGTGTCCACCACAAAGCGTCGCGACGGGCCGAGGCCTTCCAATCCTCGGCTTAGAAGAAAGCAGCGTTCTGCAGCTGAGGGAGGTCTGAGGCCGGCGCCAACAGGCACTTGACCACTTCAATGTGGCCTCCACACTCCAACTCTGCGGAGAATTGCGCTTTGAGATCAAGCGTCTACAACAGGGAATCCGTTTTGTCTTGGCCCCTGCATGAGGGAATGGGGAATGCTTCTACTCTCAAGTCCGCACTTATGCCGCTTCGTCATGATTCGAAACCTGCTGTGAATTGAAGCGGTCAGAAGAAGATGTTCACTTCCCTGTTTCCATAGTTTACCTGGGGTTCTGTCCCCACTCCAACGCCCGAAGCCGCCTTGCACGGCGGCTTCAGAGAGTGCAGTGTTTCCCCGACCGTCCTCGCAACTCAATGCATGTGTGTATCTCCCGATCATGCATGCATGTAGGGTGGAGGTGTGGGGCACGTACAAACGCCGGAATTTCCAGCACAGCGTATCCAGCGGACTGAGAGCCCGATCAACGGAAGGCTCCTTCGCCATCGGGTCTGCAGACTTGTCGAGCAGGGTCTGAACTTCCTGGAAACTGTCAATACCTGATTCGATGGCTACTGAGCATGTTGCAAACCGACCTGCAGCTCACCATCGAAGGCGAATTCCAGCAGTTCTTCGTCCATCTTGACCTGCAAATCGCAAGAAGCATTGCCCGCCAAGTCTGCACGATGCATCTTTCCACTGATGCACCGAAAGTCCCTTCGAGAGCACATCCCAAGGGCACGCAAGAGAACGCTATTAGAGCAAAGGGCAGGACCTGCTCTTTGGACTTCTCTTTCTTGGGCTGCTCCCGGCCCGCCCAGCGCCCAGCGTTCTCCTGCACTGAGAGCCATGTCCAGCCTTGAGAGGGTCCGCTTCCCGGTCCGGCCTTCACTTCGTTTTCTGATACGTCCACCTTCGAGCACTCTCTCTCTCTGTCAATGAGAGAGAGAGAGAGAGGGGGGGAGCAGGCTGGAGGTCAGAGTCACCTTTAGAAGCACCATCTTTTCTTTGAGGGAAGCAGGAGGCTCCTGCAGCGGCCACCGCAAAGGCGACGACGTTTTCCTAGCTGCAGTCCTCCTGCTTTGTCGCCAGCACGAGGCGAAAAGAATCTTTGGGATCGAATCTGAGCTCATACATTGACATGGCAAACCACGTAGGTGCTCTGACAGTCTTGGAATATCTTGGGACCTCACTTCTTGCTCACATCTGCAACCCTTTCAGGAGCATGGCACTTTGTCCTATCCTGCAAGGTAAGCAAACAGACAACATCGGAATTTCTTAATGTCGAAACAGTGACGAAGGTGGGCGACAGGCAGAGCCTGAAATGCGCCCTCGGCTAATGCAGCCTGATGCTCGTAGGTGACCTGCGCGACGCTGTACTTTTTCAACGGCAACAATCTCATCACCTTCGTTTATGCTAGTTTTTGAGGCTGCACCTTTGCAGCAAACTCATCGGTGGGGCGCAGAAGCGGCGTGAAGTTTTCCTGCAGGTGCAGACGTCGAGCTGGAGATGTTTGAAGTCTGCGTTCCAGTGACAAACCTCAAGGAAGAGCTCGTGCGGTGACAAGACCATCTCTGGAAAAGAGTCCTCACTCTTACAGATAGCACAAGCGAAGTGCAGGTTAAGGAAAGTGACACTGGAAGCGAAAGCCAACCGAGATGCACCCTTGGCCCACTCTCCTTGTCAAAGTAAGACTGCAGGTCACACTCTAGCTTGTCGAAGTCCAAGACAAGCCAGGCCCCATTGTGAAGCGCCTGGCTGAAGTCACTTCAAACAAACAACCTGAACGGACCACCTTTGCCTGCACCAAGGCTTTTCGAAGGGTCTCTTTCTCGAAGTCGCCCTTCTTGAGGATCGATAAGTAGCGACTCGGCTCGCGCCATGCAAGAAACTTGAGCATAAACATCCGCCAAACGCAGCGACAAACCAAGGCTTCGGCCCACGGTACTTCAGGAACTGACATGCTTGGCCAGTGGTGTCAACCAGCAATGGATATTTCCCACTGGTGTAGACCTGACCGACCGCTTTTCAACAGAAAGGCACAAAGGCACCGATCAAGAAACAGCTCAAGTCGACTGATTGGATGGACTGACTTTGCTCACATGGAGACGAGGCACGCAGTCGTTCAATTCGCTGGTGATGTCCCGCAACTTAATGGCTCTTGCCTCAGTGAATAGTGAATGCTCTTAGAGCCCCTGCAAAGTCTGCACTGAGCTGGGCGTCCTACCATCAGACTCCTTGGAAAAGACTTCACCAGCAACCCAAACACATCACTGAGTGCATTGCAGACAATTGCCTCTTGCAGGGGGCTCACATGTCATCAGGCATGCCACGTGGGGAGCTCTGGTGGTGTATGTGTTGGTCAACATTTAGATCGTAAGCGATTCCTTCGCCCGCCTGGACTATGCCGGGCTATTGACTATTGATGTCAATCTGGTGCTGGAACCGCATCTGCAGTCAACCGTCCGACTCTGTGCTCTGAGTTCCACAGCTTCGTCTCCTCTGTCATCCACCACTTGAACAGCAGAAGCCAAGTTTGTGCAAGCAAAGCGTCCGCAATCAGCAGCTTTTGTAGCCAACGCAGATGCTCACGGAAGCGGCGCGCATTCCGTTCGGGTTGGCTGCAGCTGTGATCAGGGTAGCAAGCCTTCGAAGCAACATCTGACTTCCATCGGAAACACCGCACCAAGCTATAAATTTGACGGGCCTCTCTTCTGGTAGTCACGACGCGCCCTCCTCGGAGAGCCTTGCTTGCTGCCTTCCAAGGACATGAAGAGTTGCGATGCTCTCATGTCCGACTACCCTGCGCCTGAATTGCCGAGGCGGCGGGCATCTTTGTTAGAGAACTTCTTCTTCAGGAGTTTCTTGGCCTCGATGCCTGCAGACAGCGTCATGCACGGCTTGACAATTTGAGGTAAGCTGGCAACCGCTGAGCTCGCTCCGCTTGGTCACCGTCTAAGGGCAGTGCGAGCTAGTAGCTGGATGCGAATCTCGCGGTCTGTGCGACGGTTATCGACACCTCACTGTTTGATGCAATCAGATCATGAAGCGCCTCTCTCTCGGATCCTTTTCGCCAAGACTTGAGAACCTAGGCAACGCACGACCTGCTTCGATTAAACTCCTGCGAAAATCCTGCAAGGCATACACAAGAAATATTTGTCTTCCAAATCTGTTCACAGCATCCCAATGCTAAACGCTAGCCGCCAGCAGGTCCTCGGCATGCTGCTTAGCTCTCATGAAGCCGTAGCAGGCTCGGAACCAGCGAAACCGCTGCTTGTCCTGGCTCCGACTGCACTCAGCCACTGATCCCGAAAACCGGACGCCATTTGGGCCGAGCATGGGCCTGCTCCCACCACTCTACACACCAGACGTTGAGTCTTGGGAAGAACAGAATACCTCGTCAGCATGCACGACCGGAACTGATCGGCTCCATGCAACGGGCCAAAACACCTGGAAGGACGGACATGTCCGGAGGAATCGGATTGTACGTGGCATTGTACCTTCGCTCCTGCCAAGGTCAGGACTCATGAAAGGATGACTCAATGCCCTCAATGCGTATATCCGTATATTCGTATGGCGCGATGATCCCGGATGCGCCTTCCAAAAGACCGAGCTCAGCATATTGTATGGCCAGTCTGGCCCCAGGTACCTGGCACTTCTGTGAGCCGCAGCAGACAAAAAAATGCATTGTCAAAGGGGGCAGAGCACTCACCAGACCTCACAGATTCGATGAACTGCTGATGACGGTAGTTCTTTGGAATGTACCTGGAAGCAGACTGAAGTGACCGAAGTGTGTCGAAGTGCCGCTCCAAGGCGCTCCTGGCGAGTCCTTTAGTCTCTCCCACAATTTTTTTTGTGTGCTCCGGCTCCTTGAAGCGAACTGCGGATGGGGATGCGGAAGGGCCCGGAGCCTGGTCTCGGGCCTGGATGTGGGGATGGTAGATCGTCCACGGCAGTCCAGGAGCCTGGAGCATTCCACACTTTCGCTTCTGAAACAAGTATCAAACTATCATTGAAGCGGCGGCACCCGGTGGAGGCTTCGCCGGGTCACCAACAGAGCTTGCACCGGGCTGGCAACTGCACAGGGGAGCACATGCAAAGCAAAAACCATTAGCAACCACATGCCACGACCTTTACCTTGCACCGTGTAGCTCATGCTTTGTCATAGTATGGAAGAGTCGGCATGGCCTCGGGAGGTGGCATCCCGCAAGCGCGAGATCATGTTCAGATGCCAGCTATCCTCGAGTGGTCCATGATAACCTAGTTAAGCCTGAGCTGCGGTTGCACGCAATTGCTGCTTCTATCGCTCCAGTGCTGTGATGTCAGCTTCGATCTTAGACCGAGAGCACCTTCTCTGCAGCACCGTTACCAGTGTGGATATCTGAGGCATGGAGTTGAGAAGCGTGGCAGGAGCTTTGGAGCAACCATGGCTAGCACCCAGTTGCTAGGCAAAGCTGGAAGCGACAGCCCGAATGCAACTTGCCCGAAGGCTACTCCCGGTCTTTTTCTGAAAACTCTGCCCGAATCGATGGTGTCATTGGCCGTCCTGGAGTTGGCAGTCGTGGCGTTACTCTGGTTGGTGTGAGCCCGAAGGCTGAGTTAGCAGTCACGTCAGAAAACCCAAACACCCTCCCTGAGTGCGACCACCCCGCGGCTCGAAGCCAGCAGCGTTTTCTTTTCAGGGTGACACTTGTTTTGAAAGACTTTAAGCCGGAAACTTCCCAGCACTGCAAAGTGTGACGAGTCAAGCCACCCATGCACTTCCAGCGATGGTGGTCGGAAACAAGAACAAAGGCAAGATGGTAGCTCCGGAGGCACATTCCAGAGGGCAGGAGCCAAACTCCCAGAGCAACTTCAAAGGCCGTCCACGAACTCCTCACGGGGCTGAGCCTGCCTAGGCCTGACCTTTTAGCATGAAAGCTGTCGGAGCCACTCTACATGCAAAGTGAAGCCGTGCATCCCGAGCCATTGGTGACTACGCATCAAGCACCAACTTAGCAATGATTTGGGAAAGCAAAGCTTTCTGGTGCGTCCCTCACGCATCCGTCATGTCTGCTTGCTTCCGAGCGTCTTGCATGGCTTCCGGGCAGTGCTTGTCCGCAAAGTATCTGCAAAACCTTGGAGGCAATGGCGTAAGTGTTGGGCACAATCGGTGGTTGTGTCACGACACTCAACAAACTGGCAAGTCAAGAGAACAGGAACAGAGAAGAAACGACCTCTCAGCCTTATCATCTTGTCAAGAATCCTCGTGAAAGCTGCAAAGATTAACAAGCTGGCAGCCAAGATGCTCATCAAAAAGAATAATTCCGCCACCATTTACATCCACCTTCTTGAACTCTGCCTCAAGACCACAGGGAGAACTCACATGTAGAGCAGGCCCGACAGAGCTTCAAGCCTGCCTCGGACTTGGCCTGAGACATCTTGATACCGCAGACGGACATGCACCACTGAAACTCCTGCGCACTAGCATCGATCCTTTAGCTCACTTTTCTCAAGTCAGGAAGCAAAATCCGAAACGAACGACCTCTAGTGTCGTGTGCCACTGCTACCACTACTGCCACCACGACAGTTGCCAGCCCTACCACCGCTACCACCGCCACCACCACCACGACTACGATTATCACTGCCACTCTCCTGTTCATTCTACAATTACAAGCCACTTGGGAATCACGTGGTTCCCTCGCCTAGCACGGAAGGCATGTCGGGCAGGCAGCAGGTCTGTAAAACATCGGCCTGCCTGGGGTTTGCGGCACATAGCTTAGAAATGTGTGTGTGTGTGTGTGTGTGTGTTTTTGTGTTTTTGCTGTCGGGCGGTGCTTTCAGTCTACTTAGCAGTTTTATGGTTGCGGTACTTCGTCAGCAAGCATCATCATCAGCCATCACCATCACCATCACCATCACCAACAAGAACTTCACAATCCTCATCGTCATCAAAAATCACTGTCATCATTACCATCACCATCATCATCGACACCATCAGCTAGTAACAAGCACCCGCCAGCTCCTTGAGAGTCATTCGGCGGTCGTGGTCCTCGTCTACCTGTCAAAAAACTGCATCTGAACAAGCGGTTCTGGGCTCCGCTGAACGGACCTGATCGAAAAGCCAGTAAAGCTTGTTGAAATAGAACAGGTTCCCTGAGAAAGCTGATTTGGGACGTCCCGCACTAACACCTCGACCAGGGCCAAGGCCCAACAGCATCTTGAACTCAGCCTTCTGCACCCATTCATCCCCGTTTCCTTCCGGGACGAGACTTGTTCTCTGCCAATCTGCGTGCACCACGGACGGCTCCTCTTTCAAGCGTAGCCTTGAAAGCCCGCATTAGTGCAGGCTGATGGTTGAGCACTGGGTACTGCTCGTTCACCATCTTACCAACCTCAGCCGAATGGGCTTTGGAAGCCAAACAACATGAAACAGCAGCATTCGCACCTCTGCCAGGGACACAATGTTGTTGCCGTTGAAGTCCAAGCGCTTCCACATCCTTAGCTGAGATGATTCGCATTTCGCTGCGGTGCACGACTTACAGTGGTAAGATGTGGCCCAGATTCTTTTTCAACTGCGCTTGGTCGTTGGCTTTCAAGACATCCTACCGCATGGAAGTGCAACGCCACGTTGCAACAAGCTAGCATGCGCAATCACCGTCAGGGCCTTCAGCTCCTTCTCGAGTTTGTCAAAGTCGGCCAGACTCTTCTTGTTGACGAAGTGTCCATGTGTCGCCTGCTCGGCGTTCTCTCTCTACAGAGCCTCGGGATGAATTGGCACCTTGTCACCGTGCTTCTTCCGCAAAGTCTCATTGGACTTGTCCTTGGACACCTGAAAACAGTGAATCAACAAATATCATACCACGACACAGAGAACAACACGCCAGGCAGACAATATCTGCATCAAAGGCTGGATTGTGGTCTGGATGGACTCGCCTCGATCCAAGAAGGCACTTCAGTCACTCTTAGGCAAAGAACTCATTTCAGAACTTCGAATGCCTCCTAATATACGCGCAGAACTCGGTGAAGAGTATCATCCCACCGTGGTCCATGTCGATTGTACTGACGGGAAACGGAAAGAAGCCCTGGACCAGTGAAGGCAAGGCCGCCGTGGGTCCTGTACTCCCTTCTTGCCTCTTCTGGAGACAGGTGAAGGTCGAGCCTTGCCACATGCGGCTCTGTCCCTCCCTCCAAGTAAACCCTCTGAGCATCTTGCTGAGCCATTCCTGCGGTGAACTCTTCTAGAGTTAGCCTGCCATCATGGCTCCTCGGCTGCGGCAAGAACCCAACAGTTTCACCTGCAAAGTCTTCCGGCAGTTTACCATACGGACTTGATTCAGGACGTCACCCCAACTACCTGAAATGCTTGTGAGGCTCGTATCGATTTCGTCAAATATTCGATGCAAGTGACCGAACCTGCAGCCAAGCATAGAAACGACCGCGCTAGCAGTCAAGAGAGCTCCGCCGAGCTCGGGAGGACTTCCCTGGTTCCGACTGCGGCCCGAGGACCAGAACAGGTTCAGGAGCAACGAGTGGAATTCCTCCTGCGAGATGCAGAACCGACTTGTCTAAGCTAGCGGCTAGCTATGGCTTGCTAGCTGTGCAGAAGACTTGGCATTGCGATGCGGTCTTTTGGGGGGCCGCAGCGGGTCCTTCTCCACGTCATCCCCTTCCCCATCGCCATCCAACCTCAAAGACTTGAAAATGTCCAGTATTACAGTCCAGACCACGCAGCCAGCCTCGTTGCCGTCAACTCATGCTACTTGCGAACTGGCGTCTTGGCGGTCTTCTCGTAAGCCCTGCGAATGGCATCCTTGTTGTTGACCCACTCTGGCCACAGGCTGGCCTCAAGAGTAACGGTGAAATCGATGATCCTGTGGTCTTCCAGACATCCGGGCCTTGACCATGTCCACAACAAGGCTGTCGATTTCCGCCAAGCTGACGATGTTGTTTCCATTCTGAGAGCATCGTCAGTTCAAGAGATTTGAATGTGTTCGAGTTCGACTCGGGTCTCACTTGGCACCGAGGCCCGAGCTTTGTCAAGTTTCTTCCACAGCTGCTTTAAGCCTTTGGCAAATGGCAAACAATGGCACTCACCCATGGCGCAACCATTGAAAACGAGCCGCTGTTGGAATCCATCAAACCGAAGTGCTTCAAATCCTCCTCCACCTGTTGAGCGTGGAAACGGTTGGCAGGGGGCAAGGGTCCAGTAGGTTTTGGCTCCGGGATCGAGAGCACATTCCACCGTGCGAACTGTACCAACACTTTTGCCGGGTTGTGTGGTGGCGTTGAGGTTTCAGCTGTCCTTGAGATGTATGGTTAGTCGTTCAGGGAATCGCTTCTGACTCCCAGTCCATCCCATTCCTTTCATGGGCGAGGGGCTTCCCTGTTCGAAGCCTTGGGGTCTGGCCCCGCGTTTGCTACCTGTGAATCGGCAAAGGTGGGGTGTGCCACGTCTCGCATGAATTCAGGATTGGCCACTTGTCACTTATCTTCTTTCGGGAGACAAACATGCTGTGAGGAGCAAGGCTCCAACATGCTTGTTGCGGATTTTAGTGGCCTGTTGGGCCTGTTTCAGAATCACGTCGGAGAGCAAGCAACGTCTGCGACGTCAGAAGTCTGGTTATGCTTACTACACTATCGGGCTGAAGCTTGCTGAAGAAATGCATGCTGTCGGCCTTACCGTAAGGCCTCAAGGTCGTCAGGTTGCGCAGGGGGTAAGAGTGGTTCTTTTTCGGTCCTAGAGTACACTTTCTTGCAACTCGTTCTGCCATTGTGTTCGGCAGGATGTGGCCCGAGCAGGGAAAAAAAACACGGGGGGAGGGGGGAGGTGTTTTGCAAGGGGTTTCGTGCGCTGTGGCCGAAACACCCGCATGGAGGCCCGAGAGCAACAAAACAACACCGGCTCCTGCGTTTGGTTTTCGGTACGGTGTGGGCTGTAGGTACTACAACTTAAAATACCTAATTTCTCCTTTGAACATTGGAGCGCGACATGCCTTGTGTACACTCTAAACGTACACAATATTTGTCCATTCAATTTGTCTTTGAATCTCATCAGTATGTTCCACGGCCATCTATCCACCTCTACTCGAAGCTGCCAGCGTGCCTACAAAAATCACAAAACTGGGGAGGTACTTGTTTTCATGCTCGCTCCGTCGTGGTCCACGTGGTCGCTGTTCTTGCTCTAGACTCTAGGACTCTATTGCCAAGAAGCCAGGAAGCCAAAGCGCGTGCAAGTCTTCTTGTGTTCCGCACACCGTGAACCGAGCAAAAAACACAGGACACTCAATGGCTTGCCCTTTGCGGAAGAGCCTGGAGGACTTTTGTTCAAGCTTCCCTTATTCCCTTCCTTCTCAAAAGACGCTCATGAAGAGTCGCCACCCTCCGGCCAGAGCCAGAAGTCACAAAGACGCGACCCTGAGCTTCCACAAACCTCGCCGAGCGGAAAGTAGCGACCAAAGGAAAAGAGCGTAATCTATGTTTTCAACGAGCATCGCTTGTCGGCTGAACCGCCCGATCACCCGACAACCATGTGGGAGCGAAGAAAAACCAGGAAGACGGTTTCAAACAGCCTACCATTGTTCCATGAATTTGCTCATCATACAGCTGCCAAGCCTCGTTCCTGAGCAGGACAAACTTATCCTGAGACGCCTCGCAAACAAGCAACGCCAACATGAGGCCACTCAGCAAATAAGGCAACAAGGAAAGAACATGAGGGACAAGGAAGACCTTGGCAGGTACGCATTTAATGTTTCTATCTTCCCGCCACTGGCCATCCTCACCTGAGGCAATGTGCCCAGCACGCTGCACCAAGATACAAGCGCTGCACCGACTCGCCTAAGGATTCCACCACAGCAAATCCAAGGACCAGGACACTGGGTGGGATCAGCATAGCCATTGTCCGAAACAAATGCATAGCATCGAGCGCCGTCCTCAGTTCACTTAGGAACGAAAGACTTGATGCATGGCATGGAGCATACACAGGAAAGAGCGCTTGGATCGCACGCCCACTTGGTTTTCCTTGCACGCCCTGCTGCAATGTGGCCCGACTCAGCTTCGCTGACTTTTCAAGCCGCTGCCGAAAACTGATGTAACTTGCCACTGAGGCGATGCCCAGCTAAGACAGCAAATCTGGGAGCTCTTTCACTCCTCCTTGTCCTGTTGCTGCTTCTCCAACTCCTGACAAACTCAGCCAAAAGCGACAACACTACCCTAGGCCCTACAGAGTCCCTACAGGCTCCTGAGCTTCGTCCCGAGCTTTGTGAGACCGTGCCTTTCAGAATTTCAAGCGATGCAAGTGCAAGAGAGTTTTTGCCAGAAAAACTACAACTACAAGAAGCGACTCTGATCACCTTTTGCAGCTTCTTGGTGTCTTGTTGAAGATCCTCAGCAGCCTGCACCGCAAAACACAGTGGTCTCGATCGCAGCTGCGAGCATCAAGCACAGCAGCGCCTTGTGCGATGCTTTTCCAAGATCTTCTGTGGCTTGTTGCAGCTCCTTCTCTGTTTCCCTGCAAGGCATGATTGTTATGAACAAGATGGTGAGGAAAGGACGGCACCTTGCAACGAGGGCTTATTTGCAGGGCTTCGGTTCCTGGGTCTTTGTGGCTGGTGTGGAGTTGGAGGATATCATTTTTTGGTAGCCGAGTGGCATTCTTGGGAGTATTGTGGTCAGCACAATGCAGGCGGACCGGCTTTGACTGTAAAATCTCGAAAAACCGCCCAATTCGATAGATCCCAAGCCCCAAACCCCAAATCCCCGCCCCCGAAGCCCCCCAAATTTGTGCACGGTGCGGGTGCCGTGTTGCTTTGCGCTCTTGAAAGTTCATGAAACTAAGGCTTTAGCACGAATAACAAGAAAAGGAGGTCGGCTGCAGGTTGGACATGGTTTCACTCAGCCATGATCTTTTTTTTAGTGGTCATCATCATCTTTATCATCATCGCCATCACCATATCGTTGCAAACTGTTGTGCAAAGAAGCAAACACGCCGTAAATATCGGTGGTTGGGCATGCTCGCACGAGGCATCAACTCTTGTGAAAAAAGCGTCTTCTGCCAGAAATGTAAACCATCCTTCTGCAGGTTGTTGTACAAAAATTGCGAAACGCGGTAAATACCAGTGGTTTGGGCAGTGCTAGCACATGGCATGAAGGCTTATGACAGTGCATCAACATCAAGCATCCTTCTGCTGCATGTTGTATAAAGCGGCCAAAACAAAATGCTGTAAATACTGGGGTTTTGGGCATGGTCGTGGCTAGAACCGACATCATTTTCCCCCGGCCCACCCCCACCCACCCCCCCACTCACACCCATCAAACCAACGCAGCCCAACCATGCCCAACCCCATGGAATCATCCGAAATGTCCTGAAGGTGCAAGAAAACCCAGGAAAGTAACACGGCACCCCAGGCTCCTGCTACCTCCTAATGCGGGTGAGTGTGAGACCCTGCGAAGATTGCGACGCGACCAGCGTGTTTCTCACGGCTTAGGCTTTCGGGCTTGGGGTTCGGACTGTACGAGATAAGCCGTGGAAATCGCACACTAGTAGAGGACGGCACACTCGTTGACTGAGGCAGATTACTCTTTCCCACGCTCATTTAAAATTACCTATTCAACGACGAGCTCTTGCCTCGGGTACCGGGTACCGGTAGCAGCGGTCGCTGCGGAGAAGCTCAAAAGCTCAGATCAGGCTCTGAAGCAAAAGTTTGGAGTTTGCCTCCATTCCTCGGCATCTTTCATTGTCTCATCACCGGCCGCATCCCTTGGTGGCCAGCATGGTATCACACGGATGGTCCATGCTTGTGTTGGGGAGTGACGTCAAGATTCTGCTGCGGCATACACATGTGCCTGGCCCAAACTTGCATCTACGAAGTGCGAAGCGTCTTTGTCCTGTTATTCAAGCAAAGGGGCGTCTCCTGGACGGAGGTTTCCACAGGGCCATTAGATGACAGCTGAAACTTCAGCTTGTTGTATGCAGGGGTTGGCACAGGCGGCAACTTCAAGATGGGCGCCCCCAAGTCTCCATCGTACTCTTCCTGGGACACAGAACCGTCCCATGGCGTCAGGCACGCCTAGTGTGGCAGGGATAGCGGACAAGTCACTGTAGGATCCGGAGTGTCAAGGCTGAGATCCATTGCCTCGAAACTCCGAGCCAGAGAAGCACACCCGAAGCGCACCCCAAAAGCGCATGCCACCAAGTTGCACGGCTGCCTGCGCTTGACAGCTATCAGAATATGCTGCACACACGGAAAGTCGAATACCATCTTCCGCGCGACAAACTGAACAAATGGGGCCGGGAGACGTCCGATACGGTCATGTTGAAGAAAACTTGGTGGGCCTGCGTTCTTGCTGTGGCTGCGCTCGCCTGCAATTGGCGCAGTGGACTGCAGTTATTATGATTGAATGTTTGCTTCTTGTTGCTGGTGTTGCGTGTCCAACCGCCGCATATCTTACACACGCCCTTTCATTTGGCGATTGATCATATTTCTTTAGCTCGCCCCCTCCTTTGGCGACCCGGATTCATCACATATCTTAAACATGCCCCTCATTTGGCGATCCCGGTTGATCCCATGTCTTAAACATGCCCCCTCTTGAGGCGATCGTTGTTGATCACATATCTTAGCCACGCCCCCCTCCCGGTTGGTCACACTCATTCAGGCGATCCCAGTTGATCATGCACATATGCTGAATACGACCCCTCATTCGGAGCTCCAGGTTGATCACTTCCTTAACCCCGCCTCTTCATTTGGCGATCCCGGTCACATATCTTAAACATCACATATGTCCAACCCGCCCCCTTGTTTAGCGATCCAGGTTGACCACATTTCTTACATTCGTCCCTCCATTGGCGATCCCGAGTCATCACATATCAATTCACCTGTCGTAAGCAAGCTTCCTCATGAGGCGATCCCGGCTGATCACATATCCCAAAACATGCCCCCTCATTACGCGACCCCGGTTCATGACATATCCTAGACATGCCCCCTCCTTTGGCGATCCCGCTTGACATATCTTAAGCACGCCCCCTCATTGGGGACTCCCGAATCATCACACATCTGAAACATGGCCCCTCATGGGGCGATCCCGGTTGACCACGATTCTTAAATCCGCCCCCTCATTTGGCGATCCAAGTTGGTCACATGTCTTAATTAAACATCACATATTTTCAACATGCCCCCTCCTTTTGGGGAGCCCGAACCATAAATATCTTAAACACACCCCTTCATTAGGCATATCCTAAACCCGCCGCCTCCTTGGCCATCCTGATTCAACGCATATTTTAAACCCGCCGCTTCATTTGGCGATTTCGGTTGATCACATCTCTTATGCCCTCCGCCCCAGTTGGCGATCAAGGTTGATGACATATCTGAAGCTCGCCGTCTCATTTGGCGATGCCGATTCAACTTAACCACGCCCCCTCGTTTGGCGATCCAGGATGATCATACTCATCAAACCCGCCCTTCATTTGGCGGTCCAAGTTCATCACGTATCTTAAGTTCGTCCCTTCCACTGGCGATCCGGATTCAACACATATCTTAGTCACCGTCATTAAGCGATCCGGTTGATCACATTTCTTAAACATGCCCTAACATGCCCCCTCATTTGACGATCCCGGTTGATCACATTTCTCAAACTCGTCCCCTCCTTTGGTAATCTCGCTTCATCACATGACATGTCAAAAACACGCCCCCTTATTTGGCGATCCAGGTTGTTCACTTATCTTACGCTCCCCGCCTCTTTTGGTGATCCCAAGTCAGAATGCCAATTCATCACATATCTAAAAGCACGGCCCTCATTTGGCGATTCCGAATCACCACACATCTTAAGGGTAAAGGTTTGTTTTGCGGTGTACGTGGGCATAGCCGTAGGTTGCGTGGCCGCGTGCGACCGCAGACCGCAGCAAAAACGCCAAATGAGGGGGCCTGTTTAAGATATATCCAAATGAGGGGGCTCTTTTGCGATATACGACGAACCCCCTTTTCGGCAAAGGAGGGGGGCGTGTTGAAGATCTTTCATCCACCGGAGTTACCCAACGAGGAGGCATGTTCAAGATATATGATGAACCGGAGTCGCCAGATGAGAGATCGTGTTTAAGATATATGATGAGCCGGAGTCGCCAAAGGACGGGGTGTGTTTAAGATATATGATGAACCGGAATCGCCAGATGAAAGGGGCATGCTTAAGATATATGATGAACCGGAGTCGCCAAGTGAGAGGGCGTGTTTAAGGTGTATAGTGAAACGGGATCGCCAAATGACAGGACCTGTGTTACGATATATGATGAACCGAGATCGCCAAGTGAGAGGGCGTGTTTAAGAGAGAGAGAGAGAGCGAAAGAGTGAGTGAGAGAGAGAGAGAGAGAGAGAGAGAGACAGAGAGAGATATATATATATATGTAGATACATGATGAACCGAGATCGCCAAGTGAGGGGGGCTAAGATATATGATGAACTGGGATCGTCAAATGATGGCACGTCTTCAAGACATGATGAACCGGCGTCACCAAATGAGGGGTCGTGCTTAAGATCCATGCTCGCCAAATGAGGGAAGCGTGTTTCAGATATGATGAAGCGGGATCGCCAAAGGAAGGGGCGTGTTTAAGACATATTTGATGAACCGGGCTCGCCAAGCGAGGGGGGTGTTTAAGACATATGATGAACTGGCATCGCCAAATGAGGGGGCGTGTTTAATATACGATACATGATGGACCTGGATCGCCAAAGGACAGGGCGTGTTTAGAATATATGATGAACCAGGCTCGCCAGATGAAAGGGGCATGTTTCAGATATATGATGAACCGGAATCGCCAAATGACGGGGCTCTTTTAAGAAAAACGGTGAGCCGGACTCGACGAAGGAGGGGGCGTGTTCAAGATATATGCCACGGCCGCGTGGCCGTGTGGCCACCCCCCCTTTTCTTGGCGAGCCGTGCTGGTGCTGGTTACGTACGTTCACAAACATCGAACATCATCGAAAATGCCGTCTCGCCTTGGCGTGGTTGGTCTCCAAGGGAAAGCCCTCCTGTCAGCCTATGCGAAAACTGCGACAGGAAAGCAACGATGGATAACGGCTGTCAAACCACGTGTACTCCGGAATTTCAAAACGCAGGCAAGACTCCCATCAAATTCTGTCGCCCTCTCCTCAGGGGCGTGACCGTGGCTCTAACTTCACCAAGTGTCCTCTGTTTCGCAGGTTCGAGCTGCCGGAAGGGGAGCATTCTCAGCTGCCCAGGCACGCACAGTACCAACGGCAGCCAAGCGAAGAGAAGCAGCGCTTTAGGGCGCTTGTGGGCCATGCATGTGGTCCAATGTCCAGACGTACCTGCGACATTCAGGTCCAGACTTGCCACTAACCGTTTTGAACACACCACAGGCCTGGGACCTCACCGGCAGACGGGAACGAGTCTTTAGCAAGCAACTACTGCCAAGCTGAAGCATACATGCTGCTGCTTGAGCAAGTGAGCCACGACGCAGCTGGACGATCTTGCTCCAAAAGGCTTTCAGCGGAATCTTGCACCGCAGATTTCAGGCAGGAGCATTGACCTTCTTGCTGATGACCCATCGCGACTTGCCGGTGTGGAACAAATACACCTTTTTGCACCATCACACGATGGGGCGTGGATCCACGGCAGTCGACATTCTGCTCAGACGTCGACTGGCGTGGCAGACCTGGCCCTCCAGCATGGCTTGTTCTGGTGCAGCATCTGCAGGGGCCTCGCAGAGCCAAGTCCCGGCAAAAAAACGTCTGCAACCGAAGGCAACCCACCAAGGCTCTGGCTCAAAAGTGTCGTTTATGAGTTTATACCTTTGCTCATGCTGGCTGTCATGGCATCGAGTTACATCACAGCTCGTCAATGCTTTACAAGGGACTTGCCCGTGCAGCCAAAGATAGTTATCGCCTGCCGGCTGCCGGGGTCCGTGGCTGGGGCCCCCGGGGCCGCCCCCGGGGGACTTGGGGCCTGGCACCGCGGCACGGGGCATCTGCGGTACAGGATGGCGCAACAGCGAAGTGTTAACCGCTGCCTGTGCAGGGGGCACAGGACCTCGGAACCACCCACCACGACACGACCACGACATGTCTCTCCTTTGCAGTCTGAGCAGCTAGGGGCTGTGCTTCTGGGCGTCTCCTGATAGAACATCAGAGATGCCAAGCAAATTCGAAGTGTCGAGCGCCCTCTCCTCAGGGCTGGCCCGCGGTGTCGCGGGCCGATCCGAGGGGGTCGGTGTGTTTGAGCGCATCCTCCGGAGCTTGTTGTTGGAGCCTCACAAACCACACCCCAATCTCTGAACTCTAGCCCTCTAGGCCCTAGGCATGTTGCATGCATGCTAGATGCTGGATTCTGGATAAGCGCAGGGCTCGTGCTTGCAGTGGCCCCACGGCCAAAAGCCTGGAAAATCACCAGCAGCGCAGCGCGGCTACCCAGGTGCAATAAACACAACTCCAAAACACATATGATGTCGCAAGGAACAACGGATCCCTGTGGACTTCTTGCAGTGGGCGAATACGATCCTGCAAAGATGGACACAGCTCGGTTGGTGCTCTCACGGAGACTAGGGCCCTGAAGCATTCCGCCTGGTCGGTTGCCTGCAGCGCTCCAAGCCGTGATTTCACAGTATCACAACGGAGCAACCGCTTGCACGACTGCTGAGCTTCGCCCCATCGCCTGCCAGGCCCACATAGCCCCCTTTGGGACTGGACATCAGGTCTGCCTGGAGACCACGTTGAAACTGAACATGTTCAACGCTCAAAGAACTGCATTGAATCCACTCATAAACGCGTCTCTCGAACCCTGGTGCCAGGCAGATCACGCTGACAACCCCATTTCGCAAGAACCGAAAGGTCTGCGAATGGTCGTGAATCCGTGCAAGCCATGCGTTTGCGACGTTTGCCAGTGGTGGCGGTCTGCTCTCGCTACAAGGATCTGTGCTTGCCACGGCAGTTTCTATGCGCACGGCGCCAGGGGATAGTCAGGAGGCACAATATGCAAGTCAAAGACTCAAAATACATATCCTGATTGGACGCGATGTTTGTCGATTGCTTCACAAATACTTTGCTCTAAGATTTCTGTGCAACATGTAGCGTCCTTCAGTTCCCTTCGGCACCCCACACGCTCGCTGGCGCCAAAATCTTAAGCGTGAGCTGGGATGCTGAGCGCTGTATCCGAGTCAGATAACAGCGGAGCATATTGCTCCAGCCTCAGAGGTGTCGCATGCCTGTTGTTCAGGCGCTGTTTGTAGGGAAATTCCTGGCTGCGAGGCTTGACGACGACTAGTCGTCCCACGAGACGTCGACAGGACTGCATCACTGAGGTTGAAGATGCAAACATGAATGCAAGCATGAGATCTCCTGACAGCTGACCGAAGTGCTTCTTTGAGATCGCCGCGGTGCACTCGCAGTAACTGGGCAAGTCAAGCTCTAGTCGAGCTGCTGCAATTCAACAGACGAGATCTGCGCTTGGCCCTGCTCGGCTTCCTACACGATCGAGAACGTCCCGGTCACAAAGCGGCAATTCAGAGCCTCAGAATCACTACTGGAAAGGTGCAGCCCGCCCAGCTTTTCCAATCCAAAAGCTACAGGCACGGACACATCAAATCCAAGTCTTCTTTCTTGATCCTGCTCATGGAGGCATGAAACTCGAGATGGTGTGAAACTACGAGGGTGGGCCAGCCTTTCTTGAGCAAGCTGTTTTTCTCTCTCGGCTCGCTTTCTGTCAGCCTCCTCCTCAGACATGGAACACGCCAGAACTGCACAGGACTCGTATCGCATGAGTTGGAGATCCTTCCGCTTGTTGAACTCGTCCAGCTTCGCCTGGACCTTCACTAGAAGACTTGGAACGAGGTTGCTACACCAGCTCACTAATAAATGAGAAGCCAATAATTGAGTCTGCACCATGCTTCCGCCTCCTTAGCATCAACTTTGGAAGACGTAGTTTTGTCCTGCCATGAGCACTGTGAAGCACAAATGTTCCGGAGAAGCGACTGTGACTGCAGACAGTGCAACTCTTGTAGAAGGCTCCTCGTCGATGGCATCTGTCAAACTGTCGAGATGTTTTGCCTGTCCAAGATGCAACACTACACAAACAAAAAAAACAAGCTGTACCCACCTCCTTGGCAGACTCACCGGTCTTCTTGGGCACATCCTCAGCGTGGCGAGTCAACTGCCAAAGTCAAAAATGAGGTTGATAGCACCTCCTCTTCATCCTCTTCCACCTCGTCGTCCTCTTCCTTTTGCACATGATGCCGTCAGTCAATCTGCAATGTCCGACATGACCATGCGTGCCTTTGTTTTGGCACCCATGTCAGCGGCACCAAGCTAAGCAGTGATTTTCTACTCTGCTCGATGCATCATCCATGTGCTCAGGTGGGATCATGCGTGGTGATTTCATCTGTTCTTGAACTTGAGAACTGGCAAAGGCACGAGTAGTGCACCATTGAAGCTCATTGCTGCTTCAGCCTGAGCCATGCATCAACGTGAACTCAAAACAAGGAAGTTGCATCAAGTATGCGCACACTCACTGTCGGTGGTGTTGCTGCGGCGGCTGCTGCTGCGTCCGCATTCTGACTTGCACCCAGTGGGCACGAAAGCCCAACAAGCGGACGAGGCAGGAGCGTTCGAAACTGTGCGCACACATGCGCGATTTAACCATCAGATATCCGCCTGAGCAGTTGGGGACGGACTTTGGGCAAGACTTTTGGCACCTGGAATTTTCGGAGGAGCTGTCAGCCGATTCATTTCGCGGCCGCCCTGCCCCCCCCCCCCCGGGTCCCGAACCCTCTTTCAGGTTCAGGCGGCACTAGATAAGGTGAAACCAATTGTCTGTACATTAGCACCATCTTCTGTCTACCTGGTGGCTTTGCAGCTGGATTGCAAAGATTTGCTCGGCCTGGAGCCGTCCCGCAAGGGCCTCACAGCGATGCGATCGCAAACTCTGCCACCACATGCTACCACCCTGCAAGTGGATCGGGAGCTGAAGCCCAACATTCAACCCGAGCAACAAGCGGCGCTGACACGGCGAAATCGGCCGAAAGCGTCTACCTGAACGAATTTGCAAATGAGCAGCTTTGCCGTCATTGCGCCTGCAATCACCTGCACCTATCTGCCCGGAAAAGCAGCCGCCCAGTATCGTTCGGATACAGCGCATGCTACTGAAAATGGGTTTGAACATGGCATTACTTTTGGGCGAAGTTTCTGAGAATCAAGATGCACCACCAATACGCGATCGACTTGCTCAACCTGCTGCTGCTGTTCAAAACTGGTGGGGAGTTGCCGTCTAACGAGTCTCCCTGCACCTCAGCCGTCGTGCTCGTGCTGGCGTTCGTGCTTGCTGCGCCTGAGGCAGATGTGCTTGAGGCCGAGGTGCTTGAAGTGGTGCTGGAGGTGGATTCCGTCGAGTCGCCCGTTGTGCTGGTCGCACTTTCTGATGTGCTGGCCCCCGATGTCGAAGTATTCGTTGCATTCTCAGTGTATGTGGTGGAGGCTTCGGAAGTAGTGGTGCTGGTGGCACACTCTGCTTCTGTGCACCCTTCCGATTCTGTCAATGAAGTGCACCCTCCAGTTCGGGAGCGCGATCTGGTGCCGTCTCCGCAAGTTTGGGAGCAAGAACCCCAGGATTCCCAGTCTTGACAGGGAGGCGGACAGTCTTCCATGAAACAAACGTCGGTTTCGTCGTAGAAGGTGCAACTGCCGGTTCTGGTACGGGACTGTGACCCCTGTCCGCATGTCACAGAGCAGTCGCTCCAAGAGGACCACACATTGCAAACAGCTGGTGCTGGTGAGGGACTCGTCCCCCAGTTCCACGCAGCTCCCACTTTCGTGGGCAAGTGGCTAGGGACCTCTATGATCACCGCACCCAACATGCCGGCAAGGACCCACCGGCAGTTCAGCATGCTGCTAGCAGCCGGCATGATCGGAAAGGCTGATCGCGCAAGTTGCGCGCCCTAGTCAACACTTCCTACTGCAAACTGTTGGAGCAAAGCCAAAGAGTTCACGGCATCGCATACTTCGCTTGAAGCTTGGCCTCGAAAGAAACACCTCTAAATAGCCTGCTATCCTGTGCAAAATCCAGGAAGGCTTGCCGTCCATAGCGCCAACATGCGCCAGCTACTGCGCAGCATCCGCTGCAGAGGCAAAGGCATCTTCGCCTGAAGCTTGAGCTTGTATCAAACACCGTGCCAGGAAGTGCGATTCTCACAGTGATCCACCTTCGCACACTGCGTCACGAGGGTGCCTGACCTCCGCTGGACGATGGATTTGTGACAAGCCCTTCAAAAATCATGTCTTCAACTATCCGTATGTTGCTGCGTTCCTGGACATACATCCTTCGGAAGGGCACTGCTTGGCAGGTTCTCTCAAGTTAGAAGACCCAGAAGGAGAAAGAGGCGAGATAGAGGTAGGGAGGGCCGGGAGGCAAGAGGAACCGATGCTCCAGGCTGGTAGAAAGATCCAGGCCAAGAGAATTACATGCGAAGGACGGCACACGGACAGAGAGGCCCGGCCGAAAAACTCAAAAACAGGACCTCGGAAGCAGCGAGCGGCAACAGAGGAGGACAATCGCTACTAGCCAGACGGATTTCTTTGCAAGCTAAGCACTCGACTCCGTCTGAAGAATCCTCCTGCCAATCGGCCTTGAACAAGGTGCCGTCAGCGTAGACCTCTGCTCTCTGAGGATTTAGCCCCTCTTGCATGTAAGCTTCTGCTCCTAAAAGTGAAGCGATCATAGGAGTGCACGAAGATGCCGCGGCCGTGCTTCCTTCCTGCCTTTCATCTTCGGCATGGTAAGTTTCTAGGCATGGCTGTCAAGGCAGTACGGCCTCGACGTTGCCCACCTAAGCCACAAAGGCTCCGTCGAATCGTCTCAACGATTGGCACAGCAAGGCACTTACGTACCAGTCTCCACTTGGCAGCGTGTGCATGGCGATGCCTGCTGGGGGCCTCGGAAAGCACTCTTGGGGAGTGCCGCATACGTTCTGCACCGCTCTGAGACTCAAGCGGATCGGAGCGCGTCGCATGATCCTGTTGGACGGATGGCGATCAGTGAGGCAGACAGAGAGAGTGAGAGAAGACAGAATTTACCCACCTCGAAACTCTCCCCAAGCAGCACCTCCATTTCTAAAGCATAGCTGCATGGGACATAGCTTTCCCCAAAACAGCGAGGCCCGAACACCGGCTTTTCCTAATCCAGAATACTTCAGCCTTGGACTCAGCGGAGGGCCACTTACACCACTCTACGACGATGACATGCCGGCGGCCAGCTAGCAGCGAGCATGAAATTGTGGCCCTCACGCAGTGGCCAGCTTCGATTCAAGCCAGAATCCTCACGCGGTGAGCAACTCGCTACGTGCTGCTCAGAACAGACTTTCTGGTCCAGCTTGTCGCTGATCACCATACTGGATGCCAGGGCCGTGTTCCAGACTCCTGTCGGCACAGTGCTAGCTCTCCAGAGCGCCCATCAGAGTCCCTCGAAAAGCGGCTCCCTTCCTTCTCTCTATGCTCTTTGCGGCTCGCGGGCACCCACCCACCGCGCCTCTGCATCTCGCCGACGTAGACCTTACTTCCAGTTGACGGAGAGAGAACGGAGAACGTTACCAATGTCACCGGCCCACCCTAACCCCGCTTGGTGCCTGAAATGCAGCATCCCACGCCCTCCTGCCCATGGCAACCCGGAACTTGACCACGGTTTTGATTCGCCAAGTTGGAACTGCCTAGAGAGGGAGCTTTCGTGATAGACCAAAAGCTGGCATGCATAAGCCCTCCCACCTGACCCAAGTAGTTCCCTTCTGTATGCACACCATCCATCACTCCAACCCCTGGCACTTGCATGAAAAGCAATCCAATCCAATCCCATCCATGCCATGCCATGCCATGCCATGCCATCCAACCATCCATCCATGCTATTCATAAAAAAAAAAAGCATGCCCACGCGCCATAGGCTGTCTGGCTTCCAAGAGTCACTGATGCTTGATTTCCGAACAACTCATGGGGATCAAGCGCAGCACTGATAAGCATGATTGCCTGATAGCTGACTCATCTTCAGCCGCGCTCCGTGTCCAAAAGATCTACTTTTCGAGTTCGAGTCGGTGAAGGTAAGCGAAGCAGGAAGCCCTCAACGGCAGAGGCCATGCAAACAACACTGCCGCGAAGCACCCGCCGCCAATGGCCTCTCAAGCTGCTACCGCACGATGAAGTCGCTCAAATACGAGTCCAATCGAATCGCCCAAGACTTCAACCCATGCTGTCTGTTCCTCTAATTCTCCCCATATGTGTTCGGTCCCCCAGCACTTACACAAACGCCCCTGATCGGTGCACCAGCATCATCAATGTACCCCATGCTTCTGCAACGAATGCTTATCCATTTTTGCTTAAATCCACTCTTGCCTGTCGCAGTTGCGCCTTGCAAGCATCGAACCCAAAACAGTGCCACATTGTTCAGGGCCAGTTCCATTTTTTGTTTGGGATGGAGGCGGGGGTTGTGGTTGGGAGGGGGGGGCAATGTTAACTCAGTTCACCACTCCTAGGCCTGGGCGGGTTAAGATCTTCTCGGGGACCCAGGCAATCACAAGAAGCAAAAAACAATGACGCAAAACCTCTCGGCCTAGAGCTACGGCGCAACTTGTCGGGCACCCCTTCGTAACCAGATTGGCTCTGAACTCTCAACGGCAATTCTAAGGCCTCCATCTTCCTCTCCATCTCGTTGCCTAGCAGCCTAGCTCATTGACATCTACACTGGGCCTCGGGCGTGCCCTTGTGACTGATTTTTCTGGCCGTCCTCGGCATCCATGGCGAAATTCTGAAGGGAAAAGCTATTGCGACCCCGTGCCGTCTGAGGACATCACGACGCAGAACCCGTATTCAAAGCGACCCGAAACTCTGCACCCGCTCACCTGGCCGAACACGAAGCGACAGTACAAAGCAGAAGTGAACTCGACTAAACTCGAACCCAGCCAGTTGACATGCACCACACTACTACAACAGTTGCTCAATGTCTCTGTTGACATGTGACATGTGTCGTGCACATGGACACCTCTTTTTGGCCAACCCTGGGTTTGTTGAGGCACATTCAAGCTTGCTTGCCCAGTTTTGGTGCTTCGCTGAGGCAGCTCGATGATCGATGTGAATAGCCCTTGTCACTTCATGATTCATGTGGGCCAAAGCGTGATGCACTCTCTAAGTGACGAAAATTGCGCGGCGAGCTGTTGGTTGGCCTCGCAGGGCTGCACAGCCACACCTGAAGCTGGCTTTTGCCACAGCCGCAGCTGGGACAAGAGACGAGTTTCTCGCCAGCCACATCCCACGGAGAAGCCCTGAGTCTTCTTCCCGGAGGCTTGCACGCCCTTCGAGGACGAGTCTGCCAAAAATGTGCAAGCAAGGCCAAGCAAGCAACAAGAAAATGATCAGAGGTTTGTGCGACGTAGGCCGGAACCCGAACGGATGGACTGTCACTCGCAAGAAGGCCCTTTCCACCGCAGAAGAAGCGCGTCACAAAGATGGAGTGGTCAATGTTGGAAGCTCAAACTCGGTCAGTCGAACGGTGGCCAGCGGCATTGGATGCTAGAAAAACGGGATGCACACTACATCCAGGTCTTGCTGCAATCCATACACGGAAGTCGCATGATGAAGATCAGGTCCCACGTAATTGAAGCACATTAACTTGCTACGCTAGGGGAAGCGGGTCATGAGCTTGCAAGGAGTCCGCAAGCTCCACATGATGGGTTTGAGCAGGTGGGGAGAACCACAACAACGATGGGCTCAGAATAAATTTCGGAACTTGACAAGTCCTGGGGAGGTGGAGCAGAAGCCTCTTGCGTGCGTCAGGCCGCATGCTTCCGGGACGGGGTCGTAGGGTGCACCAAGTCACGAATCAGCTTACGACGGTGGTCGGGCTGGGAGTCAGAACCAGCTGTCGGGATAGACAAAGCACAACAAGTTCGCAAGATTGGCCCCACAAAAAGCATCGCGCCACAGCAATTGGCCCACTCATTGTAGGTGTTCTATCGTTCTTCGGGAGGGAAAGCTACGACGGCCACGGAGGAAGAGTGTTCCAACAAACAGAACTAGTATTGCCAGCATCTGTTGCACACCAAATTCGTGCCCCTGCGTTGCACACAAGCACGACCATTCCCCCGTCCATCCCGAACTTTCTGCGCCCATGGTTTACATGGCTGCCCTTTGCATGCCGTGAACTGAAAGAAAAAAGTCTGACGACTCAGATCAAGGTCGCGTGCAGTGAGGTGGCTCTTCAGGCCTCCTGGTCTCTTGTTCCTGGAAAAATCTCATGTGGCAATGTCTCCTATTTTCCTGCAATGTCTCAGCAAGCCAGCAGGCGCCACTGAAGTGATAACACCATAGCCTTTGCCAAGCTTGGCAGGTATCAAATCAAGACTCGGGTCAGAACGGCGCAAACTTTGGGGCCGGTGCCATGAAGCTGCGAGCTCAGGAACTCGCCCACGTAGTGCTCCTGTCCGTGGAAGAAGCGAGGTCGAAGCGCCAATGACATACAGCAGCCACGTGAAGCATCGTGCTGCGGCATACATCTGTGGCAAGACTACCAATGCGATCTAAAACATGTTGATACCACATCCCAATTGCGGCCTCTTGCCCATCACTTTCCGAGCTGAGGAAAGTAACCTCGCGAAAAGCAACGCTCAAACACAACGGGTCAAGCCTGACTGCTGTAGCAGATCCTGTCAGAAGGAAAGCTGCAAATAACAGCTAGGTCCTGCTAGGTCCAGGACCGAACCAAAGCCTCCCGACGGACATCAAGGGGGTCGCTTCTTGCAGCATGTTCACCATGGCTGTGGACTGCTGTCCTTTACAGCGCGCATCAAGGCAAATCTCAGCTCCGGCCAGTTTCACCGGCCACGGATCCTTCGTGATCTTCGGAAGGCAAGAGTGGTGAAACCTACAACATAGGCATACGCTTCGTCAGGGGGGCCACTACAACTGAAGATACAAAAGTCTGAGAGCACAACGTGTCAAGTCAATTGAGTGCTGATGACTAGCCTATGATTTGATCGCATGCCTTACAGACGCAAAGAACCGGTTCTGACCGCACCTTCGGTGTTTAGAGCGTCAGTTCGTTCATCTAGGCTTTGCGTCAGAAAAGGACCTGGAATTGAGTCTTCTCCGTGCTGACTGCCAGGGTGCTCATCGTGTAGAATTGTCTCAATCGTCATCAAGCGGTTGTACATAGATTGGAAAAACCTTCGTTGCTCCTGGTTCATGAGGTGGGTAGTGAACATCACAGTCTGCAAGTCGATGCTAGTAGCAGCGCCTTTCATACGGACACACGCATTGGCAAAAGTTGTAGCATCTATCATTGGCTCTCCCTGCAACTCCACGAGCATCTTAAAGAAAGTCTCCGCATTCTTAATGTCGATGCCCCGGGTTTGGAGATATGAACGGAACTCGAAAGTCTCGACCAACTGACGGAACTCTTCCATTCCGATGCGCTCATCGTCGTCTGTTGGACGCATGCTCTTGAAGAGCCTGGCAAGCATTTTGCAATCCTCAAAGTCTTGCAACTGCTGTTCCAGAATGAGCATGTCCACATCTGGCTGCGCCAGCTTCAAAGCTTTTTCCACGAAGGTGCTGGTCACGATGTTCCACACCGAGATGAAGACAAAAGCAATGTAGACTAAGAATGCTGCTGGCATGACATCCCCTGTAAACTCCAAAGCCTTGTAGGGCTCGTTCCAGTCCACTCCAGAAGTTGACGACTGGAACAAAGTGACGACCGTGCGGAAAACACTGCGGAAGTATGTAAAGACGTACTCTTCCGCCTCTGGTGACATAGTTGTGCGCTGTTCCATGAGGTACTGCACAATCCCCTGCTGCAGCAGGAGCCCGAAGACATACATCACGAAGACAAGCATAATCACACACCACATGGCATTGATGAGAGAGCCCAGCACACAGTCCAACATCAGGCGTAGTTCGCTGAAGAACTTCAGCGTCCGAAAGACACGCAGGATCTTCACAATTTTGCACAGACGAATTAAGCGCCTTAGCTTGAAGCAAATCCGTTTTCATGAAAACGATTGAAGCAGGCTATTCTGTCCGCAAGCCTTCGCCAAAGAATAACGACCAATTAACAAGCCGAGCAGCAAAAAGCCCAAGTTCACGCTAGACGAACTTCCATCTGCGGCCTCCGCACCATCGTTTGATGCGGCTGCGGCTGCAACAGGTAGTAGGTCATAGACAAGCAAGTTTTCAATAATTGAGAAGACTACGAGGAAGAAGTCGAACCAGTTCCACGCCATCTCAGCATTCCAGAAGAAATAGATCTTGTGGACCATCAACTTCAGGAGAAGCTCAACCACGTAGAAGGATGCAAGCACCAGCTCGATTAAGTAGATATTGCTGTCGGTGTTAAGTGGCTGGTCAATGTTGCGCATCTCGAGATCTGTGGTGTACAGGATGAAAGCTGCATTCAACAAGATCACACTGGCTGCAGATATGCTGAAGACGGTGCTGTTCACGAAGCGTGCCAGACGTCCACGACGTTCCGGCTCTTCCAGGGAGCAGCAATTCTCCAAAAAGCTTGTCAACCACAGCACCGTCCTGGCCAACTGGCCGGAGCACCAACATCTGTACTCGTCTGCAGATGATGAAAAGTTCGTCCTGAGTATGTTGAGAACACTAGTCTGTAGATATGGATTCTCTCGATCTCGAATGCCGTTGATCGAGTAGCAGGGACGACTGTTGTCGGAAGGAACTTTGTGGACTCCCTTCTGCTGCTGGGACGGAAGCTCCAAGCCTGCTATGCCGGCCAAGCCTGCTCGTGACTTCTTGGTTGAGACTTTGTCCGAGGAGAGAGAAGCGGAGGTCACCGATCGCTTGGCATCGAAAGGATCAGAAATTGCATCAGAGCTTCTGCTCTGGCGGCTGCCAAACCGTAGCAGCCGTCGCTCCCCTGTCTCATGAATCACTGCAACCACAGGAATTTCAGCTGCCGAATCAGACAGGACATGAGATTCCTCCACTGACATGCGGTAGTCGTGCACACTGTCAGAGCCATTCTCAATGTCGATCCGGATTGCCTCTGGTTGTTCTTTCGCCCGCTGCACCTCTGTGGACAACTTGAATAGAAGAGCCTGCTCGTCCATCGCCAGCTTGATTAGATCCTGATGCATGGCCCTGCATTGCTGTAGTAAATCCGTGGAGCTCTCATCCTCTTCATGCGAGCCACTGCTCACGGTGAATCCTGGACACCATGTTGTCAGCGACATGGCAAAAGGCGCTACAGCGATTAGAGTCTCGCTTTTAGCCGCCCAACTGCTGCAACCCCTTGATGCTCTGCTTTCTTGACTTAGGGCGGCCTAGACCTGACCAATGCCGATGCCAGCATCTGCTGAATCTAGACGCAAAGGTGCCTCGCTGTAGACTGTCGGACAGGAACGCCAAGCAAGCATCTAAAGTAACATAAAGTGGCACAATGTGGCAACTCAGCATGCCAGGGTCGATCTGCGTGCCCAGTCGCAGAAACTGTCGAGGTCAGGTTTTCGAAGACTCACACCGTGTTTGCTCAAATTGTCTAATTATGCTGCAAGCTTGCCACATTTGTGGCATTCTTGCCGGAAAAGCCACAAAGATTTAAGCCTCTGGCTGTGAAACCCGGCTCTTGGCCGCTCCTGAAGCTGTACTTCAGAACCTTGGCAAAATCAAAGCCGGTGCCATGAGGAGGTGTCCTCACGTGCGGGCATCTGCGCACTGGGGCCACTCGGGAGGATGCCATTAGGGCCCCGGCTCACACACGGCTCTTCGAGTAGAATGGACTCAATGGTGGAAAGGCGACCATGCAATGACTGGAAGAATTTGCGCTGTTCTTTGTTCATGAGATGCGTGGTGAACATCACGGTCTGCAGATCAATGCTCGTTGCCGCTCCCTTCATGCGTACACAAGCATTGGCAAAAGTGCCTGCATCCAGTGTATTCTCGCCCTGCAGCTCGACGAGCATTTTGAAGAAGGTTTCCGCATTCTTGATGTCAATCCCCTTGGTTTGTAGGTACGACCTGAACTCATAGGTCTCAACCAAGCGTCCGAATTCCTTTATTCCGATGCGTCCGCTTCCATCATCGTCTTTGGGGCCCATGTTTTGGAAGAGCTTAGACAGCATCTTGCAGTCTTCAAAATCCTGAAGCTGCTGCTCCAAGATCAGCATATCCACATCAGGTTGGGCTAGCTTCAATGCTTTTTCCACAAAGGTGCTGGTTACGATGTTCCACACCGAAATGAAAACGAAGGCGACATATGCCAGATACAAGTTCGGCAACAGCTGCCCGGTGTTCTTCAGTGCTTGGTACGGCTCATTCCAGTCCACTCCAGAAGTTGACGACTGGAACAGCGTGATGATGGTGTCACCCACAGAGCGAAAGTAGTCCCTCAACTCACCCTCTGCCTTTGGGGTGACGTTCTCCTCCATGAAGTACTGCACGATTCCCTGCTGCAGCAACAAGCCGAAAACGTACATAACAAAAACCAGCAGGATGACGCACCACATTACGTTCATAAGCGAGCCCAGGACACAGTCCAACATCAAGCGAAGCTCGCTAAAGAATTTCAACGTTCGGAAGACCCGTAGGATCTTCACAATCTTGCAAAGGCGGATCAGACGCAAGAAGCCCAGGTTCACGCTAGAGGCCGCGTCTGACGAAACCTGTTGCCCTGGCAGCAAGCCGTGCACCAGGAGATTCTCGAAAATCGAAAAGACGACAAGCATGAAATCGAAGAGGTTCCATGCCATCTCAGAATTCCAGAAGTAATAGAGCTTGTGCACAGCCAGCTTGAGGATTACTTCCAGTACGTAGACGGAGGCCAGGAGCAGCTCAATAAGCTTCACATTCGCGTCCATTTCTACCAAAGGCTGATCGATGCTTTGCATCTCAAGATCTGTTGTGTACAAAATGAAGCAGGCATTCAGCAATATCACAGCCGTGGACAGTATGCCGAAGACTGTGCTGCTCACAAACTTGGCAAGGCAACCTTTGCGTTCTGGCTCTTCCAGCGACCACAGCCGCTCGAGGAGTACGGTCATGGAGAGGAGGCACTGGGCCAGCATGCTCGAACACCACCACCTATACTCTTCCTTCGAAGAGGAGAAGTTGGATCTTAGCATGTTGATCAAACCGTTGCGGACAACAGGTCGTCCAGCACCACTGATACCAACAATAGCATACTGCGGTTGAGCACTCTCGGATGGGATCCTGTCCAAACCTTTCTCCTTCAACTCGCGCAGACTTGCACGCCTTCGAGACTCACTTGAACCATGTGAGGCGCGCGACTCAACTTCTGGTAGGTCTCTTGGCAGGTCTACACACCTGTCATCTGCATGCCGGGAGGCCTGCAGAGACTCTTCTGCTTTCACCACAGGCTTCTGACCCACGACTCCTCTGGAGATTGGGTTGGCTGCCGTGGGGTCTGTTTCTTGCATCTGCTGGAGTTGAAAGCAGAGCCTGGAGAGCAACACCTCCTCGTCCCTTGCACATTTCATCAAATCTTGATGAGCCTTGCGGCATTGATGTAGAAGTGTGGTGGCCGCCTTGACATCTGACTCATCTGTACAAACGGCCATGGCTTGGTCACTACCGCAGACCTGTCTCGGACTCTGGGTCCAGCGATGTCGAGAGTGTGGCTGCTTGTCCGTCTATGGCCTGCATTTTTGTCAGCATGCATGGAACTGCATATCTATTTGGATCTCTTTTTGGGCCACCACGCTTCAGCCGACACACATCCCTGTGAAGCTCATGCAGGTGAAAGTGCATATGCTCATGCAGAGTGGAGCCGTGCAGAGCTTCAGATTTCAGGGCCTTGGAGCTCTCCGTGATGAAAATCTCCGACCTCAAGGTTTGCATAAAACCTTTGCCCAATCACTCAATCCGCCATTCCACCGCATGCCCTGACGAGTGCATCTCCCGCTGCATGCCAAGTGCTCGGCGTACACGAAAGGCCTCTCTTGCATGCAGTCATGTCCATTGCCAAACGTGCAATGCCAAACAAAAGCTGGGATGCGAGCTGGAGCCTGTCGTCACCGACACTCCCCAGCACCCCTCGACCTTGTGCGAAGTTGCTCCGGGCCCTATCTCTCTCTGACACTCTCCTGGTCAGCGAATTCTTCGAAACTGAGGACAGGACCATTCATCGATCCTTCTGACCAGGCGCCATCATAGACACTGCCTTGAGGCCTGGACAGCCGCTGCCCAGCCGTGGGAACAGTGACAACAAAACAACAGCTTGGGAATTTGCCAGACGAAGCGTCCAGCGCCATGGTACTCACCAAACCTGTTAAGCAGGTCATGGGATTGGAATAGATTCGACATCGGCATCGCACAAACAGCAGGCTTGCCTGAACTCGCCTTCATAACTGGCTGTGTTCGACCATTCTAAGAATCCTGAGATTGGTCCGGACTGCAGCTACTTCGGAAAGGAGCTTGACATGTCAATAATCAGTTGCAAATTGCAAGTCTTTTCCGCTTTCTCGGTCGCTGCGAGGCAACCAACTCGCAGCCACTACGCGGGGCTTCGCTCAACGGCAGCCTCGTTGAAACACATGTTGGACGATGACAACAGGAGACACCACCGGGTCTGGGGCATGCCAACCGGGAATTCTCATCGGTGGCGTGGATATGTGGCCGATCAGATAGCAGCCACCGCAGCCGGCCTCAAAAAAGGAATTCAGCGATAACACGTTCACGTTTGCTATCCCTACAGCAGCCCGCCTCGGGGCTGATAGGGGCACAGACTTCCCAAGCTGCACACCGTGGCTCGTTGAGACAGGTCTGACCGCGCAGCATCTGGATGTAAAACATAGAATGGCCGGACGGCACTACTAGATGGGGTGTCTTCTCAGACGACTTTATGTTTACAATGTCTGTTTCGCCACTCACAACCTCGGCAAATCCAAGCTACTAGAGAGCGCTACACAAGCAGGTACAAGACATCAACATCATCACAATCGTCACGATAGCAGCCTTCCTTCGGGAGCGTCGACCATGAGAATGGCTTTGCCAGTTTTTGGGTCGTGACGCTGTTCCAAGCCGGCGATTTTCGAAACGCTCGGAACCAAACCGAACCGGTTAAGCCAATTTATGATCGTCGTTGTCGACCAGGGCTTTCTAGCCAATTTCTTCCGGAAACAAAACGCTTGAAGGACCTAGCGAGCGTCAGCCAGTCTCGTTCCAAGATCAAGCGAGAGAATGTGCAATCTCTGAGCCCAGTTGTTTGTAAGGAGAGCTCGGGCTTCAAGTGGGGCGAGCAGCCAGCAAGCCAAAGCCGTAACCATAGTAGGCCTAACCATACGTAGTAGCAATACAAACCCATAGCGATAGTAGCCAGCAACCCATAACTCCAAACCGCTAGCAGCCAGTACCGTCTCGTCAACCGCTTCCGAGGCCCCCAACACAGCCTCTTAAGGTCTCGGCCCTCTGAAAGGACACTGCAACTGTTAGCTCTGGCGGGGCTTCTTTGTCTTCGCTTGATGGCGCTCAGGTTTGGCTTGCTGGCTGCTCGCCCCAGCTGAAGTGCGAACTCTAGTCGCAAACAAGAGTGCTCAGAGATGCAATGCTGTCAAGTCTTATTCGTGTCCGCCATCTTCTGAAAACGCTGCCGGCACTAGCACGAAGCCTCGATCAGACTGGGAAAGCGTTCTTTGTATCGCTGGCACAACTGCTGAATCACTCCAGGGTGGCCATAAGGAAAACCCGCAAGTTGTGGCAAAGTTCTTGCAGGGCGACAACGTGCCCGGCTAATCTTTTTTGAAGCAAGGGGCTGGCTAATCTTGCAAAGGCGAATCCACGGTGAATGCCCTCCAAGCATGCAATTGCACGTCCAGCAGTCGTTTTGTCAAAGTCCGAATTCGACGACGTGGATCTCGTTTTCTGATGCATCTCTTACGCCTCGTCAGAATCACCACATGCACGTCGTCAACAACTCTGTGTAGCGCATCAACCTCATTCTCTGCAAATACGATGCTATTCCGCATCTTCGCAACATGTGACACCTGCCAGGCATAGGTGCACCAACACTTCAAACAAACAAGCAGGCAGAGCAAACACCAAACACACTAACTAGCTGAAGATAGTGTTTCATGGTACTTCACTGGCAGTCCCTTTATGCCTGCCGGCACATGTCCGGATCCAATGCCAGGGGATCACCAAGCAAGTGGTCCCCTCGGTTACATCGAGGTGCAAATTTCTGCCCTGGCTAAGGAAACACTTCACCCTCTCCCGAGAGGGAAACTGATTGCCGCATATGGGAAGCCCTTATCACGAGGGTCCTCTAGCCTGCAGCACGCAAGTTCGGCAGACGCAACAGGCATGAGCAGAACTCAGAACTGGGATCCTTGCCCGAGCGAATTCGGCTTGACCTCTGCCAGGGCGACGCAGCCGAGACTGAAGTTGCAGTGGAGCTGAGCGATTGGCTTGCGGTGCAGACTCCTCGCACGAGTGGCAAGCACAGTCGGTAGTGACTGCAAACACACCGAGCCCGGGGCAGCAGAGACCCTGGCAAGACCAAAAACGTCCTGCGCGAACAAAGATAAATGTCAGCTCGAGGCTGATGAAACCGCGTGTGAAATTGCACGCACGACTTTCATCGAAAACGACCCCAACAGCCCCGACACACACACACACACGGAGACGGTGGATGTAATTTGTGATACAAGCCTTTCAACCGCTATCTTTCCAATTCCAGATTCCAGAATGCCTGGGTGTGTCGCCTGAACCTGACGTTGTAGTATCGACATGCCAGGTTTATGGCTTGGTTTGGCTGCTATTCCCTATGCAGGTACGTCGACGTGGCGTCCCAAGTCCATATCACAGGAAAGCAGAAAGGTCTTCGTTAGTGCCAGCTTTCTGGAATCCCCTGGCACCCCTTGCATCTGCACAAAACTGCTTCCAAGATTTAAATCCTTACTTAGAATCAGGGTTTCCACACACCCACACCCCATTCGGGGGGAGATGGGCACTTGTCAGGAACTCGTCGTTCCTTGTGATTTTGACAGAACATGTTGCACCAGTTGGAACGCAGGGCGAAACCTGCGACAGGGTTTGTCCGAAGTCGATTTATGGCTTTGTTCTGTCAAAAAGTTTAGGATGAGCTCCGCACGTCCGGGGATAAAGAACATGTCGTCAAGCTGGTTGGTGGCCTGTAATCAATCGACTGGTGAACAGCTTTTTTGGGCATGGAATAGCCTTCAAAATGTTTCCGTCCTCAGCATGAAAGATGGACCGAAGGGGCTTCCTAGGAAAGATCCCTGGAGGTTGTTCACGTGACGGCGACCTTGGTGCTTCATCGCCGATGATTGGATCTGATGAAGAACTCGCTGAGGACAATTGCTGCGGCTTTGTGGTAGTCGGCAAATGCACTGTATGAATGTCATTGGATGTCGAACCTGATGAAAAACTTCCTGCCACGTCTAATGTGTCTGGCAAATGAGATAGGATCCCCGGAAATCGCAATTGATGTAGTGCCTGACTGTGATTCCGGATAATTGATGACAAAATCCGCTTCATCGTCAGACTCTGTCAGTAAATCTGAATCAGGGTCTGGGCCTGGCTGCGCGCACAGCAAGCCTAAGTCGAAATTCTCCTTCACCGGGGAACATGTCAAGATCGTCGGAAGCCATGGTACCTAATGCAGTGTTGCATCTACGTACCTGAGCCGACCTGAGACAAGGCTCAACGATGACCTGGCACACTCATGTGGATGTGAATGCGGGCTGACCTGATTTTGACTCCGAGTCACCCGTCACCCGTCATGATAGTCTGGATATGTCTCCCTACTTGTTCCAGTCGGAAGCACTTCAGCTGAAGTTTCTTCCCCATCACTTCTTTGATCCGCTACTGTAGTATGCTCTTCATGTGATCGACCAGATTTGAATAATCGCACCCGAGATGTAGTCTGAGCGGTTGCCCTCTCGCGCAGCGATCTGGAGGTATTTGGACCTCCACTCGTGCTTCTGCCGCGGTTCTCTTCATGGCAGCTCGCTATATGCAAGAGAGGGAGAGAGAAGCTGGAACCTGCATAATGAAAGGACCTACAAAGAATAACATGAGACATATGAACAGTCTGCAAGCGCGTGAAGCTTCCGTCCTGCCTGATCCGATATATAGCGAGCATTATGGTGTGTGTTTGCATGTGAACTGCGACGGAATTCCTGCGGGCACCTGAATTTTAGTTCGAAGTGACATCAGCTACGGTGATCATACGCCGACTCATCATGTAAGAAGCAGTGATGGGGTCCTTGCCAACGGTGTCATCATTCTTCGGTGAAGGAGTGGCTGTGAAAACAGCACCGACTTGAACACATCTCGCACAGTCGGTTGCACTTGATTGGTCCATCGATGAAGCGCAGTCTGCGGTTCAGAACGTCCCACACATGCCATAGAAGTTCTCGAAGCTGAGATGTGGAACACTGTGTTACATGCCAGCGAGCGTCATCCATCATCTGAGGGTCCATGATTCCTCTAATAATCTTGGGTGCCTTCATATGGTATATGCTGCGTCAACAAAGCAGCCATAAGATGACCTGACATGACATGGACATCTTTACATAGAATTCGGCCAGTCACCTGCTCTGCTACATCTCGGTGCGCGGCGCTTTTCCTGATTATTAAAGGTGCAAGCGACGAATGTAGGTCTTTAAAGCCGGCAAACTGAAACCTCTCTGCAGGTAGAGTTCACTTAAGTCCTCCACCCGTGGTCGGACCAACCTCTACGGTCTAGTGTGGCGCTTGATGCTGAGAGCTCTGGCTGCAACCTGATAGTGCCGCCGCGGGTGGACCACGGACTTCCAGGATCTGGGTGCCGTGACATCTTATGCTGTTGGTGCCCTGCACCGTCGAGGCGATCGATCCTAAAAATTCTTCCCTGATGCATGTTCTAGTTCAATGGGGAGCCCGCAGAAATCAAGCTGAAGAGCAAGACGCACCCAATCATCTGCAAATTTAGAATGACGTAGGAAGAAGCCTCTGTTGTCCGCATATGGAAGGTCTCGAAGCTGGCTGCGAAAACTGCAAAGAGAGAAATATTCTTGCTCGGCTGCAACCAACGCACAAAGCACTGGTGCGAGGCGTGATCTCACGCTGACGCCTTGAATCTGTCGAGTCGATGAGTGATGTTTCCTACTTTAAAGTAGGAAGACTGTAACACGACAAATTGCGTGAGCTCCATGCCATGTTTTGCCTGTAAAGTCGCAAAGCATCTGTCCTGGAGTTCCGAAACCGCTGTTTTCCTTTGAAGATCCGGAGGTCCTTCGTGCCAGCTCTCCAATCGACTTGACGCGCACGGCTGCCCAGGTCCTGATTGAAATGTTCTTGCAGCATCCAAAGCAAGGACTGAAGAGACGAACAAATCCTCTCATGAGGAACTGAATTGAAGAATCCGATGAGGTCTTGTTTCACCAACAACTGTTATTATACGTCCTGGGGATGGAAAGCTTGAACGTTGGTCCAAGCCTGCTTCAGAGCAGCAGTCACCGAGTTGATGTTGTAAGTAGCACCATTCGGAAAGACAGATGGGTTTGCATCAACGTGAATAATGCTGCAGCTAAAAGGGAGCTGGCCTTGGTGTGCCAGCATCTCGTGTAGGCCAGCGTAGGCAATGATCGGACTCGTTTTCATGAACTGTTTGGATCCTTGAGGTAGGATTCTGGGCATTCGGGAGACTGACGCAGGTCAGGGTGAAGCTGAACGAAGTCCTGATGAAGGTGACGTAGAATGATTGCCGCCCCATTCTGACAGGGCGGACCTGTCTTCGAATGTTCGGAGTAGCCGAACATGCTAGTGTTTCGGATAGCAAAGGAACAGCGAATTGGGAAGGTGATCCGCGGGTCCTCGTATCAAGTCCTGCATCGGTCGCAGCTCCTGTTCAATCAGGGGTATCGTCCATGCAAGTCGATCAGAACGTTGGCATGCTACTTCACGGTTGTCCCACTGTCACAAACCCAGTCCAGTAGCTGAAGCTCCAACCTGCGTGGCAGCTTCCAACGTCTCACCCAACCCTGTATGGCTTGGGTCGTTCTGTGAACCCGAACCTTTCGTGAAAAAACGCAGTGTTTGCCAGGTTTCCTGATGCCAACGCACCTGTCGGACTGATGTCTCTAGCTTGGGTTTAAGCTCTACCAGGATAAGCCGGATAAGCAGGCGGCTACAAGCGTTCGGCGCCGGCTGAGTGGCGCGCGACATCAATGTTGCACCAACATGTGGGCTACCGGGCCCTTTCTATTGAACAGCGAGCGCAGCACAAAGCAAGTGAGCTGGCAAACAACACCCGCGTCAGTCAGAGGTTCAGCGAAATCGTAAATGACTAAACAAAACTGTCCAATTGTTATAACAACCGGGGTCCGGATCGTTTAAGCGTTGTAGCAGAGAATGCCCCGGGTAGTCCAGAATCTGTAACGGAGAGGTTTCCGTCTATCCCCAAACGTGTAACAAAGAGGGCCCCCGGGCAAACCAGAATCTATCGCGGAGAGGTTTTTCGTTGATGCCCGAATCTGTAACGGAGCGGGTCCCGGATCTTCCAAAAGTTGTAACAGAGGGGGCCCCGGGAGAGGGCCTGGGCTATTCCCAAATCTGTAACGGAGAGGGTCCCGGATCTTCCAAAAGCTGTAACAGAGAGGGCCCCGGGTAGCCCCCAATCATTGTAACGGAGAAGACCTGGGCCCGAACTTTTCCTGCATAGCAGAGATGTCCGTAACATGGCACAGCTAAGACCCAATCTCTAGCTGCACACATGAGATGTCCAAATCAGACGGTGACTTTCGGGTTGCTCTCCTGAAATCTCAAACATCTGCATTCGGGGGTCCTATGACTCGTCCAATTCCGAAGAAAGTCTCTGTAACTGAATACATGTACAGAGATTGGCTGCCGCCGTCTGAAAACCATTGGGCAAGTGCAAAGGCGGAAAGTTGCACCTTTCCTGACGAATGAGAAAACGAATAATCCACTTGACCTCCGATCTTAAACTGTGAGCAGTTGGTGGCAGCATTATGGGAATGTTGCTCGGAGAAAGAGCACCTTGGCGAAGTTCTACTGTCTTGCGAAGAATGTTCTTCGCTCTGGTCTGCCATGGTTGGTCCAGGAACTTCAGCAATCTAGTTCGAAGAAACAGGCTTGACACATCTGTCTCCCGAGAACGTAGCTGCTTTGTAAAGTGAAGTGAAAAGCCTGGTGTGGTCCTGAAGTAGCACAGTGCTGCGATGTCGATACCTGGCGTGTCGTTGAGCTCCTAGAACGGACCGATTGCCTGGGTTCGAATGCGGAAGCACAAGCCGCCTTACATTTAACCGAAGTTGTTCCCGTGGTGCATTCAGACTTGGCTGATAAAGTCGAATCAACGCAGCTTCCATCGCAGCCAACCGATCCTGAGTGTCGGGGATGCTGGGTGACACCGATGCCTTGGTAAAAATTGCCTTGGTGTGCCCAGAGCTTCAAGGCAGGTTCATAGCAGGCTACCCGATTTCGACGTAGCTGGATGAACTTCCTGCGTCTAGACAGCTCTCTCCGATGCGTAGACTGTCCTGTGGATCCAACATACAACAGTGTAAATGTGGCGATGCCGGTGCGAGAACATCGAGAGTACACTACCGATTCCCGTGAATAACACTCCCATGGGAATCAAACGGAACTTTGCAGTCCTGAATGAGCTTTCTGAGTTTGTCAGAAAAGTTTGTGGAAAAGAAGCCACGCGGGAAGCACTAGCTGCTTGTACAAAAGCCGAGCACGTATCCATAAAAAGCGATCCGAGATGCGATGAGGTGGTGAGCGGAAGAATCAAAGAGAGCCATCTGAAAAAAAGGCTTGTAAAAACCTGACCAGTTGAGCAGGAGACACTGTGTTGACAAACTCTCTGGTGCGACGTGGTGCTCTGGTCTCTGACGGTGGCCTGAGTCACTCCTGTGCCAATACATAACATGTCGCAATCAACTGTGCCAGCGATTTCTCTCCGATCTTGGTTGCAGCAAGCACTGAAGTCCCTATCCGATAGCAACGGCATCAATTGCAGGTCGGTTTCCTGCTTCCAGCCGACTAAGAGCTGCAGTCAACTCATCACTCGCATTTGAGAACCTTAGTCATCTTGTCTTTCCGACCTTGGTGGGGATCCACTTGTTGATCGTCCCGACCTTGAAGTTGTCAAGCTTGCAATATTCCAGAAACGGTTGTTCCTGCTGTCTCTCAAAACTTTGAACTGTCTCCAAAGGGTCGGCGAAATCGGGTTCTTCACCTAGGTCGCCGGGGGACATTGGTGGGGAAAGGTCCTGAGCAATGGCGGCTTCGCCATCCACGTCTTCGGGGAGCTGGCTGTTTTTCGTCGGTGATTCCGCTTTTCTTTGAGTGCCAGTACTGCTCGAGACTGCGAACTGGCATGGGTGATGGGGGGGATGGGGGGGGTTGAGTTGTGGTAATTGTGGTAGAGTTGGGTGTGTGGGTTGTGTTGTTGTTGGTCTGGGTGTCGCACCGTGTTGCGGTAATGTAGGTGTGCTGTTTGTTGGTTGGTTGAGCGTGTGTTGGGGTGGGGAAGGTGGGAACGTGGCGGGTGCGTGGTGATGTATGGGTGGGTGAGGGGAAATCATGGTATGAAACCGAATTGAGTGCGGCAGTGGCGTTGCCGAGCGGGGGCGCATACTGTTGATGACCGTGCCCATCATGCCTCTGGGCGGTGTCATGTTCCACCTGTTGTGCGGTGGCTGACCGGCTGACCTTGTTGGCTCATCTCTGTCGGCTGTGACAAAAGCTAAAACAAAGCCAATCGCCTTGGCTGCATGTGAATTCTGAATTCCCAAACATGTTACATACCAATGCAACATGGTATAAGTCGCCAGCAGACTCTCACGATTGCGTTCCTGGCCCAAAACGCATTTGTTGCGGGGCGGAGACGTTGCTGCAGGGTATCGGAGATTTAAGGAAGATGGAGCAACATAAAACCTAATGCAACACGATTTGAGGCTCAACAAAACTCAGGCCACCAATCCAATACCCACTATAGAGAAATGTCCTACGTGCCACCCCCACTTATCGAGGGTGCATACGATGCCTTTTTGGCCCGTAATGAAGGCTTCACGCCACGTGTCTCTGTAGTCTATCTTGTCATGCTGTAAACGAGACCTGATCACTCCAAACCATCAGCACGCCCTGTAGTCCTTTGCTGCAGCAGGTTGCGTTGTCCGCCACAATATGAAGTGTGTGTTCCTCGAGCTGGCCCGGTGTGGCTGATCCGTGGACCACGGCTGCTGGAATCTCAGCGTGATTGGCCGCAAATGTTCCCTAGATGCTCGTGGGCTGGATCAGGTCCCCCAACAAAATGCCGCTGGTTGCTTGCATGTCTGTGCCGTGGCAGCACACATAGTCGTATGTGGGTCCCGGTGGTATGTCTGCTGGGTATCCGAAAGGAAGCCGAACCGCACCCTTCCAGGGCACGTACAAGATGGTGTGCACCCATCGGAAATGTCCAAAACGGCAACATTAAGCTCCGGGCATGCCTCGCGTGTTCCGGAGGCACATATGGCATTTTCTAGCCAGTTTTATCGTTGAGCTTGATGATCGTGTTCTCAGCTATCTCAACAAGTGCCTGTGCAAGCTTGTTGGATTCTGCGAGATCCGCGGCATTGGTGTGACTCTGTCTTGTGGCCTGATCTCCACATACGGTGTGATGAGGATCTGTGGTAGCCGCCGGTCGGTCCGTATGTCGCTTTTGGACCACGATGATTGTCGGGGCATGTCGGGGCTGCTTCCGATCCGCGATGCTCTGTGTTTGCCCCCGTTCCTGTGTGGGATTTTCCGTCTCCTGACTCAGTGGACGGGGCTTATGGGCCGGCTGGATGGGCTGGTGGATTGGTTGTGGCTGCGGCATCTGACATGCTGGTGTCTCGCTGGCGTCGTCTGTCATGTCTGGTGGAGTGGCGGCGCTGTCTGCTGCGGCTGCGTGACTCCATTCGCCGGTGTGGCTGTGATGTGGTATTCTTAGTCTCTGGCGGTGGGGCATTGGTCACTGCAGGCTGTCCGGTAACAACTGCTGTGGCCTAACTGCAGCTTGGGTCTGCGTTGCTGGTGGTGGTGGTGGTGGTGGTGGCGGTGGTGGTGGTGGTGTCTCTGATAGCGCAATGTTAGTTAGTGGTGGTCCGGTGGGTGTTGCTTGTGGTGGTGGTGGTGCTGGTGGTGGTGCAGCTTTGGTGCGTGGTGGCCCGGTGGGAGCTTGTGTTGCTTGTGGCACAACCTGTGGTTTTAGTGTAGGTTGTCTGGAATGCAAAGTGAATTGTGTGGCCTGGGTTGGTTGTGTGTCAGCCCTAAAGCCCAAAGAGTCAACCCAATATCTGGTTCTTGGCCAGCTACCCCGCAGGGCCACCACGGCGCCATGACAGAAAGCCGTTAACAAGGGACCTTATGCACACACTGTGTGATTTCGGCAAAAGCTAGAGGAAAGCAGAGAAGAGGGGTGGGCGGGGTTGTTGTTAGTTGTTGTCCACTCAGAACGGTTGCTGAAAAAAAACGAATCTGGACACCACAGGGGGCTGTCCT